CCTGGTTCTGGTCCTGATGGAGAACTACTCCAGGTACGGGTGGATGTTCTGACAGTGGTCTCCTCCAGGTTAGGGAGGGCCTTTATCCAGCCAAAAAGAAGGCGGTGCTGGTTCTGGTGTGTGCTGGTTCTGAGCTGATCTTTTGCTTTCTCATGACTTACTGGCCGCCGTATGAGGCGGGTCATGTGACTGGCGGGGGGGCATCACCTCCTCTGATTGGCCAGTCTGCCGTGCATAGGCCGCACTTTGGACAGCACTTTGTGGGGGGGGTGTGTCATGGTGGTGACGCACTTCATGTTGGGGGGCAGAGTTGCTGCTGGTTGGGCGGAGGCCGAGGATGTTGGCGGGGGTGCTGTCACTGTGGGGGCTGCACAGTTTGTCTCCGTGACAACGGGTTTGGACAGGGTGGTCTGGATCTCCGCCCGCCGAGCCAGCGCCTCCCGCAGCTTCTCCCTCATCAGCTCGATCTGCTCCTGCAGCTCCTGCAGCTCGCCAGGCCGGACCGGTGCCGCGGAGGCCGGGGCCGCGGTGGTGGGAGGGGCTACGGCTGTGGGGGGAGGGGTCACAGAGGTAGGGGCTGTGGTGGTGGGAGGGGGCGGGGCGCAGGAGGAGGGCCTGTAGAACGCCAGACCCCTGAACGGGGCTGGGCCTCCGTTCTCACACCCCACCTTCGGCTTGGCTGGCCCGTCACCCTTGGCCCCTCCCCCTTTGGCGTCTAAGGCGGTGAGGCGGGACAGCAGGCGGCGGGTGTTCAGGGTCTCCAGGTCGAAGTGGACCCGCTTGAAGTCCCGGGAATCCGCAGAACCCGCAGCATCGTTATGGTTTGCATTGTTCCACCGAGCTGACGCAGCAGGCGGTGGTCCCGGGGGGGCCTGGGCCTTCTGAAGGTTACAGCTGCATGGAAACAGAGAGAGAAGAAGGCACAGGTGACTCCAGGGTCAGACCTTTGACCCCACCCAGCCTCAATAACCAGAGCTCCACATCCTGTTCCTTCTCCTGCCACCAGGGGGCAGACATGTGTCTGAAGGCTGAAATCAGTCCCTCAGCACAAGTGTATTGTGGAATTCAGAGAAACGGGAGAGATACAGGCAGAGGGCCCCTCCCTCTGCCTGTATCTCTCCCGTTAGGGTTCTTCCTTCAAGGAACCCCTTGAAATTGGGTCCAAATGAATTGGACTTATTTGGGACTAAATGAACTGGAATTGATTGTGACACAGTGAATTGGCTCGATCTGGTCTGTAGATGATCAATAAGATTGAAATTGATTTTTCTGTGCTGTAGGATGACAGATATCTCATCTCTTCCACATCATCAGATCTGAGGATTTGGACCAAATGGACCCGTGACCTCAATGTAACATCACCCTGAAATCACACCCACCTCTTCTCTTTCTCAATTCGCTGCCTCCTCACATCCTCATACGTCATGTTCAGAGCTCGATGGATTTTCTGTCAAAAAAACGTTTAAAATTATGTCAGGAGGACACCGTGAAAAAAGGCTTGTTTTCACCTCTACGTTTGAACCTCACCTGTGAGGTGTGCAGCCAGTACTTCAGGTTCTGCTGGCGGCGGATGTGAGGAAGAACCAACCGGTAAAAACCATGTTCACCTGCAAGGGTCAGCAGGGCCCCGCCCACTCCGACACACAGCAACACAAAGAGTCCAGAGAAGTGGCTGATCCCCATCTGAAGGGTCTGAAGGAGGCAGAGGAGAGTCTGCACTTCATTTCTGTCCCAGCAGGGGTCAGACAGGAACCAACAAATAGGAACCACAAAATAGGAACCAGCACACAGGACCCAACAGACCGCTCTGAAACACTCCTCACACACATGAGAACACAGGATACATTAAATGTGTGTGTCAGGGGTGTGTGCATGTGGCCATGCACATACCGGACTGACCTCAGTGACGGCGAACACTCGGTTCCCACAGGGAACCACTTTGTACCACTTGTCGTGCAGGAGGTCCATGTATCCCTCAGACTTGTATCTGCTGATGAACTCTGAGATGTTGGAGCTGAGCGGGGAGTTCTGCGGGAGGCCGATGCCGTAACCTGCTCAAAACACACAGAAGACGCCGCAGCCCGCTGCATCATGCGACTCCCGGAGCATTTGTGAGGTAAAGCTGCATCAGACTCTGACCAGAAACCCCCGTTCACGAGCGTTAGGCGCAGAACTGAGAAAGTGACTGGCTCCGAACAGCAAAAGAAGGCATAAACTATCATCACATTCTTGACCTGCAGCTGTTTTCTGCTGCACCATGACAAAAGCCCTTGAAACCTGACGTGGAAAAGTGTAGCCTCCTCCAGTTTTTACATATCGGGACATGATTAAAGACATGTTCAGGACCGTCTGTGCCGGGTTTGGGCCCAGTGGGAGATACCTCCAAAGGTGGTAGAGGATGAATGAGCTAAGCGCTGAGGTGTTCTGGCACTTTGTCTAGAACCCAGGAGCCTTACAAAGAGGAGACAGAAGTCCTCAGGGGGATAAGTTAGAGCTTTTTATGCCCCACCTGTGGCTTATTACACCTCCTCTGTGCTGGGGATGGCAGCGTTTGCTCTCATCTGCCTGCAGATTAAGCAATTCAAACTTTTAGCTCTGTAAAAGTCTCTTCTCCTGCTCTGACTGGTTGGTGGCGGCTGATGATGAAACCCCATGAAACACTGGCGGGTGAAGAACGAATCAGGAATTGCAGAGATTGGAGGACTCTGGGAGGACAAACTGAAGCTCATTGGGACGTTTTTAACAAGTCCCAACGCTCACTCAGACACACACTCCTACCTTCAATGGCGAACGGCTTCCCGACGGTCGCCAGCTTGCAGTCGGCGTCAATGGAGACCTCGTAATCCAGGAGGGCTTTGTCCATGATGAAGGCGTCGAGCTGAGGAGGATCTGTCCTTCAGCACAGAGCAACACACGTTTTATTTGCACGGCAGCAATTTCAACTCCCTACATGTGCAGATGACATGCTGTTCATTTTTTCCAGCTGGAGATACGGCACAAGGGTCAGACACCCAATGTGGATCGAACTGATGGCCTTTTTTCTGTGATAATGTGGAGTTTAAGGTGTATATCAAACCTTAAAGAAGACAAAAGGAGCTTCACAAACAATGCAGACACACCAGAAAGCTGCCAGAGTTCCCCAGGCAGCTGGGGAACTAGAGTTTTAGTTTCTGCATGAATTTGAACAGACACAGGAGCCGCTAAGCGCCAGGTCACAGAACCAAAAGGAGCTACTGTTTGGACCCGCTTGATCATAGCCAGGGTTGTGGAGGCATGGAACCAGTAGGCAGTCCATCACAGGGCCAACCAGCAGCTATGTGTGGGTGTTGGACATTACCCTCTTTAAAACTGTGGTGAATCCAAGTAGATAAATGAATAAGACTACATAGACAACCCAGATCCCAGAAGCCTCTGAGATGTGAGGTGATATGTCTAAGAAACCAAGAAACCAAAGAGGAGCGACACATTCTCAGGGCAGCTTCACAGGAGGTGGAACTAGATGTTTCTGATGGATGTCATTTGGACAACATGGAGCTGGGTTTGCTGTGTCCCCTCTCTTACTTTAGGGTGGCGACTCCTTCGGGCGTTGTTGGCTCGTTGAAGCGTCGCATGTACTCGTGTGTCTCTGGAAAGCTCTTCTTCATGTAATCCTCGGCGCTGCTCTCTCTCACTGTCCCAAAGCGGAAGCCCTGTGATGGATGGTGCAGCTGGACACACCAACGAAGAAGAACAATGACTAAACACAGAAGGTAATCTGCAAATTAACCGCTGCCCTGAAAGAAACCAAATTCAGAAAATCTGCTCATTTTAATGATATCATACTCTTCAGAGAGTTAATTATCCTTAAGAGGATCTAATAAATACTTAAAACCCCCCCAAAATTAAGTTGCTGAGTAATGACATTCGTGTCTTTATGTTCTTTTATATAAAATCAGGCCAACCGCTGATGCCTGTGGAAACATTTTGTGGCAGAACAAGATGGAGAGAATAAAGCGAAACAGCTGCAGAGCTTCGGTCTCTGCACATTAAAAATAAAAAGCTAATCACACACAGGCCGACGTCCAATTAAAACCCTCTGAGCTCTCAGAAGCCCTGGCTATGCAAACACTAACAAGCGCGTTTCATGCTTCATTCAGCCGTTGAATTAAAGTATAATTAGGATGAGGCAGGTGATCCACAGAACAAATTTAATCTCCAACGGTTCCCGAACAAGAATACAGAGAAAATTATTGAGTCTGCAGAGTCCAACTTAACAAACACACAAATTTGGTTTGATACAATCAGCATTCATCAAAAGTTCGATCACCTTCACCATTTAGCACAAAACTGTGACTAAAACTGAATCCATTGAACAGACTCTACAGCTCTGGGTTCACACACGAGCCAGAACTGTGAGGTCGGAATACTAGAACGGGAACCTTAAGATCAGAGTAGTGGAATGGGAACCATTCAAAAGGGGAGCTGGAACGCGAACGCGAAGAACAAAGTACTGGAACATGGTTGTCGCTGACGTCTCAGGACATAAACATGAAGGGTGGACTGAACACAAGGACAGGCCTGACCCGGCCTGTTGGACGGTTCAGAACACGTCAGGCTAGTCGTCTGTTGGTGTTAATCAGTAAACTGGACCAAACAGCAGAGTGTGACTGTCCTTTTCTACCCTTTGTCTTCAAGTGTGTACATATCAGATAAGTTTGATCTGTTCTGTGTCTTATATTTGCTTTTACTGTTTCTGTAACAGAACAGAACCTAAACTTCATCCTAAAGGATGAACAGCTTGTTTCAATAAAGACAAACTGGAAATTATCTACAGTTTGCTGCCACATGTTTTTGAGGAACAGAAAGAATTCACATTGGTTTATAATTGCCTAAAAAACTCATATTGAAGCCAGTGAAGAGGGCTGGTATAAGAGAACATTCAAATAGTATTTGCATATGATCTATAATAACATTTTATATTAAAGATTAAATATTAAAGAATTTTGAATCTTTAATAACACTTCGTATGAATGCATGTATCTAATATGTATGGTAATTAATATATTTATTTGTAACACTGCCTGTCCTGAGAAGTATTTGCACTCTAAATTGCTCATGATGATGGGCTCTCTGAGTTTAATCTTCAGCGGGGCTCAGGGCCATCGTTCTCATGATTACAAAATCTGACTGACGGGTTAACAGTGAGACCGCTTTACTGCAATTTGACGATGACATTTTTTGTTATTTGCTGACATGAAAGGGAAAAGGTGAAATCCATGGAGACGGCTACTTCCCGCCATCCTGGCCACTGCTGATTTCACATTTAAGGTTTATGACAGTTCTTCTGCCGCGGCTTCGTATACAGCGGGGCCAGCCTGCTTTATCTTCCTTATCCTCCTCCTACAGCTGCCACGGCTCCCCAAAAAAGCACTGAAAGCTTCCAGCTGACGCAGGTTAAACGGTGACGCTGGTCTGTGCTCTCAGGACTTGTATCTGTTTAACCTAAGCCTGCAGGGGCTAAACTCTACCTTACCTTGGCATCATGGATCCCTGACACCTCCTCAAAGGTCTTCTCTCCCACCATGACGGCAGCGAGGTTGGCGGTGTAGCTGGACAGCACCAGCAGGCAGAAGATGGCCCAAAGGTTCATCAGGAAGCGGCCGGTCCAGCACTTGGGGGTCTTTGAGGAGACGGTGCGACCGAACAGGATCGCGTAGCACAGATTGAGAGCCGAAGAGTAGGAGAAGACCCGGATCCTGTTCCGCCCATGCGGCGTCATCCCGAACGGACTCTTCCACTCGTACAGCGTCAGAAAGAGCGCCGTGATGTGCAGGGCGAGGAAGATGCCCACCCACATGGACCAGTGCAGGGGCCACATGAAGGCCCCGATGGGGGCGGCCGTGTCCTTGCTGCGCACCAGGATGCCCAGGCTGGTGGAGAAGAAAGGCGAGGTGAAGTCGATCACGCGGCTGCGTGCGGAGTTGATGCTGAAGGAGGTGACCGCCATGTCCGCCAGACCGTTCAGGAGGTCTCCCACCAGCCCGGTCCAGCGCCCCCCTTTCCACGCCCCGTACTTCCCGTCCCCAACGATGTAGAGGTCGAACTCGAAGCCCAGATCCTCGGCCAGCTTCTCCAGAAGGTCGATGCAGTACCCGTAGCAGCACTTACTGTAGGCCAGCGGCAGGGAGCTGGCGTTCCCCCCCGCCACCTCCCTGAAGTACCTCTCCAGAGTCTCCGAGCTGTTGGTGCTGGCGTCCAGGCAGAACTGACCGGCCGGGCAGATGCCCTCATCGTCTGCGTCCCGCGTGAACACAAAGGGATGCTCCACAAGAGTCACCACCCGGACCCGAGTCCCTACCACCGGCATCCCCGCCCTCCAGCGGCCCCTGGTCCACCCGCTCATCCCATCTGTTTTCTGTGGCTGTTTGGGCCCCTGCCACACCCCCTGGTCCTCCACCTGCAGCTGCCCCCCCTCCCAGCTGCCAACGGTCACCCAGGTGGGCTGGCCCAGGACATCCCGCTGCAGGCTCCAGATGTGGAACCGCTGGGAGGTCAGGATCTGAGACCAGTTCTGGTGGACTCGAACTGGACCTGTGAGTCCTGAGAACGATGTGCTGGACAGAAACCTGAAGGAGGGAATGGAGAGGACGATTAGATGTATGATATTTAATCAAAGAGTCCAGCATGCAGGAAGGGAGGAGGGCAGGCTGCAGATTGAAAACTAAACTTTGGTTCATTTATTATGAATAGTATTATAAATACTTATATGTTCAGGCCTGCTCTGACCATCTTGCTTTGGAGGCTGCTGCTGCAGCTTTAATTGATGCTGATTAAACACATGGAAGCATCACAGTTTGACTGAGAGCCTGTTGATGTCTGTAACAAACGCATGCATTTTCCCCCACAGATGGGCCGCAGCGAACCCCGCGAGGAGAACTCAGCCCATGGAGAAGATCACAGATTCCCTTTGAGGACATGCAAATGGTAAACTAAGAAAACAAAGTAGGTCAGTTTTAATGTCTGTGATCGGAAGTTTGAATGTGCAAATCTCTGATCAGGGGACTGTTTAACCTGCAGCCACACGCAGAGTGAACCTCCACCCAAAGACAGACGGAACAAACAGGGTGGAAACTGTGTGATCATCCCCCTTCTGCCTGTCTGAGGCTCAATCTGGCACCGGTGTACACCTCAGAGACTGGAATAGTCTGTGATTTCTGACTTTGTTTCTTTCACTGAAATGTTTGAACATCGGAGCCTGATGGAAGTGTGATTGGATATGCTGAAGGTTCCCTCAGTGTGATCTGACATTCACCCTCGTTTCTGTTTCTCCTCACGTTGCCTCAGCAGCACATTATTCATCCTGTTTCTGTCAGAAAGCAAAGCAGAATCTGGATGGATGGATGGATGGATGGATGGAAGGATGAATGAATGAATGAATGAATGAATGAATGAATGAATGAATGAATTAATGAATGAATGAATGAATGAATGAATGGATGGATGGATGGATGGATGGATGGATGGATGGATGGATGGATGGATGGATGGATGGATGGATGGATGGATGGATGGGTTAATGAAGGTTGGATAGAGAGATGGATGGATGACTAGATAATCTTGGCCTTGATGGGCTGATGGAGGAGCTTTTGCTGTTTCCAGGCTGTGAGCTGGGCAGCAGGGCGGCTGTTACCTGGACAGGTGCTGTCCTGATGATAGGGCCTCATGTCTGTTGGGTCTGTCGTAGCAGTTCACCATGTTCTGGATCAGGCCCAGGTCTGGCCTGGCCATAATTGCCGTGGCGACGGCCCTGGTTAGGAGCTGCAGGGCGTCGCTGATGTAAAAGTCGAGCGGTTTTCGGTCCACCTCTCCATAGGCCAACAGCCCGAGCGGCAGCCCGATTGTGTGCAACACATCAGGGCTGAGCGGCTGGCCCAGAACCCAATGCACCATGGGTAACGTCAGGCCCAGGTCCTGGGCGCTGCGCAGCACCGCGGCGGCGCACTGCGGGTCCGCCCCGAAAAGCAGCACCGAGGCCGGCGGAGGCTGGTTCTGTCTGAAGTGTTGGGACAGGAACTCGTGGATCTGTGTGTCATCGTGGGCTAACTGGGTCAGGTTCAGGAGAGCCCGCAGGCGCCAAGTGACCCCGCCCCTGGCGTGTGAGGAGTCCGGGGTCGGGCTGTCCAGCAGCCGCAGCAGCCCGCCGGCCTCCTCCCAGCCTCGACACAGGATCGCCGTGCCCTCCCTCCAACCGGACCGTTGCAGAACCGTCAACAGCAGATCAGAGAGGGCGGACTCTGGAACCCCAGTCACCATCTGCAGGTGGAACCGGTTCTGTGCAGAAGCAAAGGAACACACAACAAAAAAGAGTTACAATCAGGCAGTCAAATGCGGTCGAAAGCAGCATCAGAACATCTGATGAAGTCATTCTGGTTCTGTGTGGAAGGAAGGAATTCTGAAGATCCTCCAGCACTAAAGGAAAAGTTTCCCTGGTGCAGCTTGGAGAACATAGAGTAGAACAATGGAACTCTAAAACACTTTTCAGGAATGTAAATACCGTGTTCTGAGCCTCAAACACCACATTCTGACTGTGGCCCCTGAATGCACCACGCTCTTACCATGGACGCACTGCACTTTGACCCCGGCCCATGAACGCATCGCGTTCTAACCCTGAATGCACCGCATTGTGACCGTGGCCCAGAATGCACCACATGCTCTGAACATGGCTCCTGAATGTTCCGTGCTCTGGTGGTCAATGTGTGGACCAAGGACAGACAGCGCCCAGCAGCAGAGGAAGAATCGGCTTCCTGTTCAGACTTAAAGAATCAGAACCACTCAGAGTAACGAGCTCGCCGGCCCGATGACTCATGAATTAGTTCAGGAGGCGCTGAGTTGGCAGAACGGAACCTCTGCTGGATCCGTTTCATATTAATACTTTGGGGTCCCATTAGAGATAAAGACAGCAGAGATAAACAGCTGCTCAGTTTATCCAGGAAACACCAGGTCAGAACCAGTGTCCTCTGAGGAGAGTAAAAATTGTTAAAAAGATTCCAATTTGAAGCAGACAGGTCCAAATTGGCCCAGGCCTCTGTTTGCCAGCCAGTTCTGGTTGTTCTCTCGCCTCATTACTCTCTGCAGAACTCATAGCTGGAGTCAAAAACTTCTGCACGGGTATCAGAACTGGGACCGTGACACAAGACCCAAATCGGAATCAGGTGCACGTCGGGTAAACGTGATGATGTAACCCAACCCAAATCCTGATCAAAGGTACAGTAATGATAGAGAAATAGTGCTGATGCTGCCTCCGTCAGACACCTGAATTGGTGGTGGATTTGCTGGTGAGCGACCCGTTTATCCACTGTGACTGAGGTCCAACTGTGTCCCTGGTGTTCTGGTTCTGATCCGATCCGTCAGTTTCCCTGATGCGTCAGGCTCATGAGTTAAATTATTGATGGCCTCCTGACGCCTGTGGATGCTCGGCGTGTTTGATCCCAGCGAGCTGCAGACAGACGGCAGGAAGGCGGCGTCAGACAGGCGGATCAAAGAGGAAACATCAGAGCCAGCGCCACGCCGAAAACACATCCTCCACGCCAAAAACACGTCCTCCACCCCCCCCCCCCCCCCCAGCCCAGCATCAGCTGAATGTGACCTCACAAACACATGCGGCGATGTCGGATGACATCAGAGAGGTCAGGGCTCGTCACCCAATCAGAGACCTGACCTGTTTCCTGTCCTGCATCATTTGGAAAACAAGTGAATGCATAGTGCACAAATGAGAACACATCTACAAAAGCCAACACAAAAATGTAAAAAACTAAATCACAAATAAAAGCAGAGGCCTGCTCTGGTCTCTGATTGGATGAAAACCAGCTATTTGCTCATCCATCCCTGGATGGATGGAAGCATTGATGGTTGGATCTTCTTCCTCCTCACGGGGAAGTGTTTAACCTTTGACCTTTGAACCTAAATCCAAACCAAAGGCGTGCTCAAACAGGGAGGGGCTGTAGGGTACTTAGGAAGCAGAAGCTGAGCTCTGATGTGGGCTGAGTGAGTCACAGCGTCTGACTTCCAGCAGACCCGCTGAGAGTTAAACTCGTGTTTGTTCATGTCCAGCTCATGTTTGTGACCCGATTTTTCTTTGTTTCATCAGTTTCTTTTGTCCCGTGGCGTCCTGACGTGACGTGGCTCCTCCCACTGCTCTTCTTCTGCTGTCTCAGAGGTAAACAGACGCAGTGTGAGAAAGACGGCTGCTCTTTGATCAGGGGAGGATTACCCAGCTGTCAGCCTCTCCGCTCCAGGACACAGACAGATCAGACGTCGGGTTCCTGTGTCGGAGGGAGAAACCGAACCGACCCGTTTCCGGCCGCTCTGCTCCGCTTGTTTTCCCTGGAGAGCCCGAGGACATCTCACAGGCCAGTTCTGGTTGTGCCAGCTCATTCCCAACTGATCTTTGTGTCTCACAGGTGAAATTAAACCTGTCAGGTCAAACAATGAGACGAGTGAGGCATGCTGGGAAACCAATCAGCCCGGCTCCACTTCAGAGGGATTACAGAGTTTAACCCCGACAAGCTCCAAGATGACCAAGATTCATTTCACCAGCCAGAGAAGTCCACAGACACTTCTGTTTGCCCTGCAATGCACATCTTTGGGACACGGGCGGCTTTGACTCAGCTTTATGTCACAGGAGGAGAACAGAACCCACACGCTGAACAAAACAAGAATCTGACCCCGGGAAAAGCCCTCTGAGTCCATAGAAGAAGCTTTCAGAGGCTCAGGCAGGAGTCAACCACACCTGCCAGGTACCAGAAACCTGAACCTGTGCTGGACGGACACCGGTGGATCGCCCCAGCTGAATTTGGAAAGACCCGCAAAGAATTTGGAAAGGACAGGTTTTTCTGGCACACCTGCGCACAACAGACAGGTCAAGGTCAAACTGGATCAGACAGGGTCAGACAGCGTGGCCCCTGGAGTGCGCGCACGCAGCTTTCAGAGGTAAACGCGGGGCTCCTAACCTACCTGCGTGCGCAGAGGCTCCGCGTGCTCGATGACGCTGAGGAACGGGATCTTCAGGAATGAGGCCATGAGGTCCACCTGTAGCAGTTCCTCGCGGCTCTGCGGGAAGGCCAGCACGGCGGACACTCCGCGCACCACCACGCCCTGGCACGCGCACCGGAGCAGCGACTCCGGGTCTGCGCCGGAGAGCTGCCGGGACACCAGCTCCAGGCTCAGGTTGTAGGGCAGCGGGTTGGCCCGCGCTGGGTCCGGGTCCGGGAATGGGTAGGGGTCCGGGTCCGGGTCCGGGTCCGGGTCCGGGTCTCGGCTCAGTGCCGCTGCCGCGCGGCTCAGCGCCGCCTGCACCTGAAGGCGAGCTGGCCGCTGCGCCGGCAGGAGCGCACCGACGCGCACCGTGTGTCCCATCTGCGCCAGGAGGTGGCACGGCTGCGGGTGGAGGAGACATGGCGGAGCGAGCAGGAGCTGCAGGAGCAGCAAGGACGGGACATGCCAGGAGCAGGAGGAGAAGGAGGTGAGAGACATCCTGCCTGCGCTGTCCGCATCGCTCTGCCGCGCCTCCGTCACTCCTGCCGGGGAGAGGGGAGCGCGGGGAGGAGGGAGGAGGCTCTGGAGCTTCAGAGCGGACCCTGACAGGAGGAGGAGAGGGAACAAATGAAAAAGATGAAAAGGTGTCAGGGGGAGGAGGAGGTGAGGAGAGGGAGGAAAAATCAACAGGAGGAGCAGAGGGGGTGGGGGGGGGGGGGGGTTAATGTGAGAAGGAGGATCAAAGGGGTGCAGATCAAGGACCGTAGGACACTATCAGGAGCGGTGGGAGGAGTAAAGTTTCAGTTTGTTTGCTGTCAGAGTTAATAAAGAGAAGGCAGACTGACTAACGTCTGAGCTGAAGGAGGTCGCTGCAGAGGAGAATCCTCCTCCATTCGTCACCCTTCAACATCAGAGAGGCTGCGGTTACATAACCCACAGCAAATATTCTGAGTGAAACCAACAGCGATTCATTCATCAGGAGAAGCATCCAGTTCGCTCCTCCGATGGAGAGCATTTGCCAGAAGCTCCAGATCCAGCAGCTCGGTATACGTTCAGTTTATCCAGAGAAAAACAAGCTGCCCCATTCATCAAACTCCCAGTTGGGCCATTTAAATCAGAGCCAATTCAAATGTTTCTTCTCAAAGAGGACCAACAGATTGCTTTGAAAGCTCCTCAGTCTGATCCATCCCCCCCGTCAGAACCAGAATAACAAATGATGGGGCAGTTTTTCTGATCATTCTCCTCCATTTGGAGACATTAGGAAGGGGAAGAAGGCAGGAACCTGTCAGAGTAATTCAGATGTCACTGTTGAAGTTCAGCTGAGCTCCAGCTCCAGTTTCCCGCCTGAAACCCTCCACCTTTTCTGTTTTTGGACGGAGCCCTTTCAAACTGGCTCAGAGAGAATCTAGAAGGTAATGTCCTTCCTATAGTAATGTTTCCTTTGTAAAACCCTCATCAGACCCTCTGAGGAACACCAGCTCTGACGTCCTTCTGTTCCCGCCCCAGTCATCTTTGACTCAGTTTTAGGCTGTGGTTTATAGCTGTGTAATCGTTCTGTTTGATCCCGTCTTCTCAGGTGTTTCTGTTCTTTCTGTGGGACCAATTCTTCCGCACGGTGGACTAAAAGTTCCCTATTGGCCTGATTTCTCATGATGGCCCGTTTTTGATCAACACAGACAAACTCAGGAAGTCGAGACGTTCTTCACAAAAAAAAAGCTTTTTATTGAGTGACAACAAACATGTTCCTGTGTGTGTGTGTGTGTGTGTGTGTTCATGTGGGCTTTGTGAGTAGCTGTGTGGAGAACTCGTACAAATCTTTGTTGACCTTCTTCAGAGTCTGAACTTCCTCTTCCAGCTCTGCGATGCGAACCTTCGTGTTTTCTCCTTCACCAAACACCGCCTGCAACAGACAAACAAATATCAGGGTGGGGGCTCGGCTTTGACTCTGCCCTCATTAGGTGAATTAATTATTTTTTGGGATTCAAGTCCATTTCATTTTCATTTTGAGGTGCTGGTCCTTACTTCTTTGTTAGAGCCCTGCACAGTTTGGTCTGTTTTTGTTTGGTTTCTAACTTCTTTTTATATCGTCCTTTATGATCCTGTCATTACCATTTATGCATTTGTTTTATCTTAAAGTTGCGTTTATGTTCTTGATGATAAAGCACTTTAACTGTGAAAGCTGCTGTATCATTAAGTTACCAACTTGAATTAATCTTTTTTTTCCTGACAGTCAGCGTTCTCTCACATGTTAAACATTAGAGGAGGCAGAGCCCTCAGTTATCAGGCCCCTCTCTGTGGAACCAGCTGCCAGACCCTCTCTACCTCTAGGATCAGGCTTCACACTTTCCTTTTTGATAAAGCTTATAATTATGGTTGGCTTAGGGTTGGCTAGGATAGCCATAAGCAAGCCCCGCCCCCTCTCACCTTGTCAGTGATGGCGGTCATCAGCGAGTAGAGCCGCTCGGCTCTCTGCAGGTGTGTCTCCTCCTCATCCTGAAAACACAGGGGGGGGGCATCAGAGTCTTCTAGAACGTTTTTAGCATGACAGAGAGGTGTGAGCGCGGCTCACCTGGGCGTGCAGGCCGGGCCGGACGCACACGTCTCCGTTGTCCCCGGCCTCCCCCTCGGCGCTCTGCAGGTGGCGGCTGAAGCGCGGCAGGGGGATGGCCGGCCGGCTGTCCGGCAGGAACATGTTAGCCGGCGCCGGCATGATGACGGCGTTGGTGACGGGACCTGGACACACAGACAGGAGGCGAGGTCACAGGGCTTCCCGCGTGGAGGCGGCTGCCTGGCGAGGCTGGATGGTGCCGACCCCGTTCAGAGGTGAGGATTTTAACACTCTGTTTAATCACGTGTAAATCACGGACGAACGCCTCCGCTCTGGAAGGAGACTGATGGAGGTTTGTTCCGAGGAGTCGGAGCACGTTTCCTGCCTGTTGTGCTAATACAAGCTGGCCAATTATCTCCTACTCAATTACCAATACAGATCACTGCTCGGTTCCAGCAGATGGAATTACACTAATGGTCTAATAGTGGTCCAACGCCAGATAAATCAGACCGACTGTGTCGGAGGCTGAGGAGCTGCCAGCTGCTCTAAAGCACTGCAGAGAGCTGGATTCAGACAAAACAAAGTCCAAGCTGTCCAGCCGGGTTTCTTCAGCCCAGTTGGTCCATCTGACTCAGTCCAGCTGATTCGGACCCGTCAGCTTCATCAAGCCATGTTAGGCCAGTTGATTTAGTCCAGTCGGCCGGTTAGGATTGCGGCTATTCATCGAGTTTTGACCTGAAACCATTTCACTGCAGAGCGGAGCCCAAAACACAGCCTACGAAATCCGGCTGTAATTTTTCTTTCTCCAGGCATTTTATATGAATCAGGTGAAATTGTTTTTAAATTAGACAGAATTGGGTCACGTTATCCCTGGATGGAAACAGTCTGCCTCCTTTCTTTGGAACCGTTTTCCAACTGCTTAACAAACTCAGAAGGTGACTTACACAAGCTTGGAACCCCGCAAACAAACATTTTTAAAATCAGAATGAATGGACTGAATTCATCCCTATTCAGTATCAGATGCTCAGCTTATAACCAAATCCAGGTTTTTATCTGAGAAATAATAAGCTGTTGAACACTTTGTGGTGATGCAAATCGGACGGGAACTGCCTTCCACCATAATGTTAATGTATTCTCTGGAAGAACATGTGAGAGTTAAATCTTCAGGTAAGTGGGTCAACATCTAAAATGAGCTGCAAAAATATCTGCAGACGATCAGGTGATCTCAGCGATAAAACCCTGAGCTGGCAGGCTGCTGTGTGAGACTAATCGGTTGGAAGTGCTGCAGAGATGGAGGATGGAGATTCCCTGCCAACATGCTGCCTGCATCACTCTGAGCGGCGCGGGCAGCTGCAGGGAACGAGTGTGAAAATGTGACGAGGCGGGGGACGACCACCGGCCCCTCTGTCCAGCCAGAGAGGGGATTATCCTCTCCTGACAGCCGTTTGAAGTGCGGCCCTCAGCCGAGGGGATTTGGTTAATTACAGACTGCCAGTCATGATCACGGCAGGGCTCTCGCTCACAAAACCTCCCCTGGAGGGGCTCTCTGAGACACATGAGGACTCATTAAAACGCCTCACGCACCTGTACAGGGACGCTTTACAAACCGCTTTCCTCACCTGTACAGAGACCAGGCTTGTCCCGATCTGATATTTGGATCGGATACCGATATTTCCAAAAAGATACGGCCGGCATGAGATCCGATCCAGAGTCCCGTTCCAGTTTTTGAAAAAAAAGTCAGATCCCTTGTGTATTATTCAAACTAACATAATTCTAAATAACTTTAAACTTTAATACATGCTCTGATAGGTCGGGATCGGTATCAGTTCGGAAGTGAAAAAAGCTAGATCGGGACATCCCTAAAGAGACACATTACAAACCGCCATCTGCACCTGTACAGATTGTGCATGTGTGCATTCGCTGGGTTGCTGGTTAAGAAAAAACACTTGCTGTTTGACCTTTGGACAGAGCTACTGCAAGGCCTTAACCTCTCCCTGTTTAAAGACTACACCGCGATGGTCTGGACCAGAATGTTGACCTCACAAAGGGGGCGGGGCTTACCTTTGTGCGCCAGGCAGCGGATGCTTTGTTTACTCTGAATGTCCCAAAGGCGAACACTCTCATCGTGCGAACCGGAGAGGAGGAGAGTCCCATCCATCGACACAGACAGACACGTCACCAAGTTCCTGGTGGGAGATTCCAACAGCTGAGCTCCTATCCATCCATTTTAAAATCAATCAAATACCCAGTAAGGTTTCTGATATGACCAGGATAACTGCTCATCAGGGCAGAGTGATAATTCTCCGGATGGGCGTTCAACCTGACCGTGTCTACTGATCAGCACACAGATGTGAGTAGATGAGATATTTTTAATAGAAGAATTTTTTCTACAGGAATGTGTGTGAATAATTAGCAAACAGGAGGGCTGAGCAGGACTCTGTTAGAGGTGAGCTGCTGGAGACTGATGTTTCTTAGGATCTGTTGGGTGTGTTTCAAATGGGATCAAATTATTGTTAGAACGGGTAAAGAAGTCAAATTAAGCAGTTGGGTGGAGAGTAACAGTTCACCATCCGACAAGTAAAAAACACGATTTTATCCTCAAAATGAACTCACCTGTGTCCTTTGAACACCTGGTTTCCTTCCCCTTCGGACTGGAAGGATTTCTCCCTGCTGAGACTCTGTTGGTGACATAAACAGAACAAGTCCAGTCTCAGCTTCCTTCTTCCTGCCAGGCTTCAGTGTTTGATTCGTTAGGCTTCTCAAGACACTCAGTTTGGTGACCGCATGCTGAGATGATATAAAAAACTGAGCCCAGAAACTCAAGCTGGACTCACCTGGCTGCACAGAGACACTTGGAAGATGTTTCCATCACTTCCTCCACAAAAGAGGAAGTACTCGCAGGGGTCAAAGGTGACCGACATGATCTCCACATCAAAGAGGACGGACAGCAGCAGCTCACCAGAGGACAGCTCCCACACCTGGAGACCCAAGGAGCCTGAACATCCACTTTCTGACACGTTTCCGTAGAAACCGGGTGTGCAGGCAGTACGGGTTTCCACGGCAACCATCTGAAGTCACCCATCGCCCGTGCAGGTGTGTGCATCACCTTGACTGTCTGGTCCAGAGACGCGGTGGCGATCCTGGCCTGAGTCCCCATCAGGCCGCAGTGCAGGTCTGTGATTGGAAGAGAGTGGCGAGACAGGATGTGACGTGGCTCGGGGGCGTGGCTTAAATCCATCTGCACAACACTGTGACACAAAAGGGGAAGGACAGGTGTGGGTACAGGATTAAACGGGCGTGAGAGCGTTTTTTAAAAGTCTGGGGAGAGGCGTTACCTGCACAGGTTCCACACTAACGCCAGGTTGTCTTTCCCGGCGGAGACAAAGTGGCTGCTGTCATCTGTGAACTTCAGACAGGTGACGTCCTGATAGTGCCGGCTGAGCACAGATAGCAGCTTACCTGTGCACACCTGGGACAACATCTGTCGTTAAACACCTGACGTCCTCTCCATGGCAACAAGAGGCCAGAGACAATGTGCAAAAAAACGGCAGAAGAAATGAAACCCATATAAGAGGAAGAAGAAGCCGACATACCTCCCACAGGTAGATGGCCTCAGCCACTCCAGCAGCCAGGAAATATCCATCTGGTGACGCGGTCAGACAGGTGACCACACCTGGACAAACTATTTTCTGCTGCAGCTGGTCCTGGACACAGAACAGAGTCGTGTGAGGTACACACCTGTCTAAGCTGGGCTCGCCTGCTCCATCCAACAGGTCCTCTGCTGTAGTAACCCCCCCCAGAGCCATGGGTCTGTGCAGCCGACTATTTCCAGGAGCCAGATGTTAGCCCTAAACCCATTGCAGTGACAGTTTTTTAGCCTAAAGTAATTATAATTTTGAATTAAGCATTTAAGACAAAGTAAGGTGAGTAAAACTGGGCTGTCATTACTGTGCCATCACAGTGAACTGAGGCACTTCCTCTGTCAGTCCCATTGGCGTTCAACACACCACGTACAGGGCAACATAACAGGGTTAAGGGTTCATTTCCCTGCCGAACCTTTCCTTGTGTACAGACGGTAGGTACCAAGTCCTCCGGTTCTGTTTTCAGCGGAAACTGGCTCTGGAAAAGGGCGCTACTTTTAAATTAGTCGAGAATCTGAACGGAGCTCCGTTCTCTCTTTTCGTCTGGATTCTGCACCTTGGACCTTTTGGAGCCTCGCTCCCCCTCTGAGGTGATGATGGACTGGTGTATCCAGGTGCGTTGGGCGGTCCCTACCTTCCTTTGGATCTCCCACACGTTGATGAAGTTCTTCCCCAGCTGCGCGGACAGCAGGAACTCCCCGCGGAGCACCGTGAGGCTCCGGGCCGCGCTGTTCCCGCCCCGGAACGACAGCAGGCTGGAGCCGCTCAGCGGGTCGAACACGGTACAGTTCCAGAGCTGCGAGCCGGAGTCGCTGCTCACGATCACCTCCAGCGGGGCCGCCATCTTGCCTCCAAATAAACACAAAGCACGCGGGACCAGGATGCCCCGCCCAGCTTCATACGTCCCCTCCGGGGAGAGGCGCAGGGTACTCTGGGAGATGTAGGACCCCGACCTCCGTGTGCGGTTCAGTTTTATTACACGAACGGCCAGAACCGGGAAGAAACCCACATCAGAAAAGGGAAGAAACAGTCAGAAACAGAACCATCTTTGTTTGCTTGGGGCTGAACGAACAGGAAAGATGGAACGTTTCAGGGTCAGTGAGCCATCCCATACTATAAACTTTACCTAAAATGAAAGTTTTAAGCCTGATCTTAAAGGTAGAGAGGGGCTCTGATTCCTGAACCCTAACTGGCAGCAGAGGGGCCTGATACCTGAAGGCTCTGCCTCCGATATTGTTTTTACAGAATGACAAGTGCCAGTCTTGTGAGACATGTGGTCCCATAAAGGTTTTGTCCAAAAAGTCAATTGGAAGTCTTTAGGGAACAGAAACCATTCAAAGCAGCTTTGTGCATACAGTGATCATAGGCAAATGTTTGCAATTTGGCTGTGTGAGATCTGAAAAGAAAAAAAAAGTTGCAGTTTAAAACCATGCTTCTTTTTTTAAATGTTACTAAATGCTCATTAGAAACTAGAAGTATACTGTGACATGAACTTGACTTTTTAGTCTGTGGTAGACTAATTTAAACCAGAACAACACACTCACTTTAATTAAATTTGACAAGTAGAATTTTAAATCTCTGCCAAAAATCTGGCTGAGATTAATAAATGACAGTTTTTTTCATGTTTCAGTTAAAGATGATGTAAAAGGTTTAAACTCACACTAACTCCAGCCTGGTATGTATCCTTCTCTGCTTCCTGATAATAAACCAAACCAAGTGGCCCTGATCTGTGCTCTGTGGATTACTTTATGGGCCTGAATGTAGCTCAAAGAATCTGCTGACTTTAGAGGATGGGGGCTTCAGAGAGCTGTGCACAAACTGAAGCTGCAGATCTCAAAGAGTGAAGAATAACAGTGATAAAAAAAAACAGGCTTAGAGTTCCTGTTTCCAAAATAATGAGACAGTGACATCTGAGGCTGGAGATTCTGAACCTGTGAAACTGGGCTGGACTTTGTGTTTGATCAGTAATGAAATCCAGACGATCTGAAAAAAAAGCTCTTTAATGCAAGATACAAAGACAGAAAGACAAATACAGACTTCATATAAGGGATCACTGATGTGAGGGTCCGTTTACAGATTAGCACAGAAGGGATTATTTTTTTGGAGAAATGTTTAACTTCTACTCTTTGTGGGAGGCAGCAAAGAAGTCGTGGTTTTTATTCATGAACGGTGACAAACTGAACGTCATTCATGCTCTTTGAGCAAAAGGAGTGAAGGGCAAACTTTCAGGTGGTGCTCACTCATCCAGACTAGCTGCAAAGAAGTTGTGCTCGTTCTGCATCTGCTGGCGGAAGATTTCGTTGGCTCGCTTTTTCTGATCTTTGGTGGTCAGATGGTTGTCCAGCAGCTTCCTGTAGTGCTCTTCAGGGTCCCCGTGCATGTTGTTCTTCTTCCAGATGAAGTAGGCGTTGCCGTAGCTGATGTCGAGATGGTTGGCGAGCCACAGCCAGAGCCTGGAGCAGGGCAGCAGACTCACAGCGAAGTAGATGGGCTCCTCCTTCTCCATGATGGTTCTGTAGTCGGAGAGGTACTTCTCCATGGCAGGGATGGGTTTGATCTCTGACACACCCTGTGGACACAAATGGCTCCTGGTAACCCCTCAATGTCTGAAGTTATTGTCAGTAACATCATAAAAAATGATTTGCGGATGGATCCCATGAACAAACCAGGGTTTGAAACAAGCACAATTTAAAATGTTTCATTCTCCATTTAGAGAATAGATGCTTTGTTTTAGCTGCTTGATATGTCGAAGATGAAAATCACTAAGGTGCAACAGCAGTTAAGAGGTTAAAAGGACACATAAAACTAATTTAGACATTCTTGTAAATCTTTTTTCTTTTTTTCATCTCTGATTTTAACTGCTATTCCCAGCAATGGGCTCTTTAATTCAGCTCAGACTTTCTTTCAGGAAAGGCCCATAGCCCCATGGCCCTACCGGGAATGGGCATGTATAGAAAGATGGGAGATGTGTCTTACTTTGAGATTGAACTGATCCAGCATCAGTTCAGAAAACTCTTTGTAGCTCTTGTATCTGCCCTGGAAGAACTCTTTCATGTCTTCATCAGCTATTGGCTTGTTTGTCATCTCCTCTAACATGTCTGTAACCTCCAGCAGGTAGTTGATGTCCTGGATCATGAAGTTGACGTAATAGTCTGACTGGAGGTCGCCATGTTTCATGTGGTTCAGAAACGGCAGCTTCAGCGTTTGCACTGCAATGTCAAAATTGGAGGACCACAGGCGGTCGTAGATGTCCGTGTCCACTGGGGAGGGAAAGGTCAGAACACGTCAGGGTCAAGCGTTGGGACGTTTTATGGGAAATGCAGGTTTGCATCACAATGTCCCAAACCTCCATGAGAAAGAATCCAGACTTACCACCAAAGGATCCCTTCTTTTGCGATGATGAATACAAGACACCTGGAAAGCTTTCACAACCTTCAAAATGCTCACGGCTGCATCCCCTGTCTGCCACAGAGAGATTCAAATCACTTCATAATCTGTCATCCATCTCCTATATCCTCCTGAGGAATCTGAGGCATTCCCAGGTTAGTTGTGGTATCTAATCTCTCCATTTGGCTCTAGGTCTGTCCTGGTGTCTTCTCCCAGTAGGACATACCCAGGAAACCTCCATGGGATGGCCACCAGGAGGTATCCTGATCACATGGCTGAACCACCTCAGCTGACTCACCAGCTTAAGAATCACCACTTTGACATGGTGGTGGAGTTTAAGCATCCCTATGATCCTGAGGGCTGTGCTGTCGTGGCGTCTGCCCCTAGTAGGGTCTGTCATGACAAACTGGTCTCAGAGGAGGGGGCATCATAATTGACTGCTGTAAAAGAGGACCAAAGATCATCAAGAACTTACCGTGGGCGTCGTCCAACAGTAAGCCAGAGCTCATGGAGAGAAGGCACACCGCCATCAGGCAGCTTTCAAACCAGAACCATTTCCCTGTAAATATAACAATTATCATGCATAGAACAGTCAAATTGAATGTATACTGTTTTATTTTTCCGTCAACCGTTGTCCTCAACAGTCGAAGTTACTAAAGCATGAATTACAAAACAGTCACTCAGTTGTGTTCCATCTTTAAGTCGACTTGTTTCCAACACAGCACAAATTTTACAATTATGTTTGAAATGGATGGTAGAAAAAAGAGCTTATTTACCCGAAGGAGGCCCTAATTTTGGAGGATAAATGACAGGAATTCTGAATTATTTTGACTATAGTTTGGAGTGGAGGCTCACATGATGATTTACTCTCACCGAGAAGTTTATCAGAGTTTAAAAAGAGTAGAATATGAACCATCTATGTCATTTTTAGCCAACAAGATGAAGCAAACATCAACTAGGAAGGATTAGCTGTTGAAATGGGATATGTTTTATATAAATAGTGCTTTACTAAAGTGTTTAATGAGAGTAGAAGCTGTTACCTGACTCCATCTTGGCTGAACAGCGTCTCAGTCGTGGTACAGTAGTGTCGTACAGTGACACGCTTAGAGGCTGCTTTTGTAGAATAACCTGAGGGTGGGGCATGACGTGTTTCATAACCGTTTATATTTCCTGAGAATTGTGGGTGTTTTAAAAAACACAGAAAGTGAACTTCCCTTTTTCCTTATTTGGCATTGTTTTGAACCATTTCAGTTTTACTTTTGGTTTCAGAGATTTTGAAATATGTCAGCGACCACATGTGACCGTGAGCTTAGAGCAGGAGTCCAGATTAATGAAAGGGGTGACAGCCTTAACTCCAAAGTCTCTCAGATGCTGCATAAAAAGTATGTTTATAAACCTGATTTTTATTAACAAAAGAGCACAGAAAACATAAAATGCAGAAAGCTACAGAGGTAGAAAGACGAAAGAGGTGCACCTTTCTGAAAAAGACAGCAGATAAACTTTGGAGAATATTCAGACAAATGTTCCTTAACGTCATCAGAAGAATCTGGAGACATGACTGTGAAGTGTCCAGACCAAATCGGACTGGGGATAACTGAGGAGCTGGCATCATCCATAAGACCAGAATGGGACAGCATTCCTGTCCAAAGCCTCAGCAGCTGGGCTCCTCAGCTCCAGATGCTCCAGGCAGATGTTAGAAGAACAGCGGGAACATGGACCTGTCCAAGTATTTATGATGTGTGCTGCTGCCATCAAGTTCAGGTGAGCTAATATAGATCTGCTTTATTGATCCAAGGTGGCAGAAGACGGTAAAGCGGATATCTGAGACCAGCGCAGAGTCAGAGGAAGTCCTGAGCACAACGCCGAAGGGCCTCAGAATCAGCAGGTGGAGGCCACTTTGTCCTTTCAGTACACAGCATCAGTCCATCTTACTTCAGAGGTAAACAGCCAGATACTTTCCCCAGAGGTCACCCACTCCCTGTTTTGTTATAGTGGTGTTTCAGAACAGAAAGTCCATGATGACTGGCCTTTGGTGCAGCTTATTCCCTCAGTCACAGCGGCTGAGGCATCACAGAGCTTCTGCTTAAGGCACACCCGGACATAGCAAAATGTATCAGTTTGAGCCTATAAGTGCTAACTCTGCTTGTTTGGACTGAAACGTTTTCCCCAGTTCTTACTAATAACACGTGACTGTTTTAAGTGTAAAAACTTTAAACAGTTATTCAGGAACGTGGTAGGAATGATTTTTAAACCCCGCTGTTAACGGTTCGAATTTCGAGGCGGAACGTAAAGAGAACTTGCTGTTTCGGTCGGAGCTGTATTATCACGGGACCAGACAGGGGTTTTTGTTGTGTTTATTGTGGGCCTAATATCAGTCCTTTCACCGCAATGTCTTCTGTTCAGCATCTGAGAGAGTTTATCAGCCAGCGACTAACTGCTGCCGCCGAAGAAATATTCTCAGAGTTAGAAAAAACCATCGTCCAGTACGAGGACGAGATCAACCGTCAGCGCAGACTGCTGGAAGTCCGAAGGAAACCCCGAATTGCCCTGAAAACAGCAGGTATGTGGCAAATAACCTTGAACGCATCAGTAATTGGGAAAATGACCCTGAACAGAGTAGGCAATAGCCAAATAATCCCAAAAAGAGCAGGGAAAGGTCGTAATATCTGAATAGGAGTCGTAGGCGATCTGACACAAGGGAGGTTTCAGCCTCTGAATGAAAGCATGAAAGATGAAGAACAGCTCATCCATCATTATTTGTCAACCTGCCTGAAAGATGACAGCAGTGCTCAAATCTTTGATACTTAGCGAAGCATTTTGCTCTGATTAAGAGGAAAAGCTTGAAATATGCACCAATTCGGTCATTCATTGTTGAAAACTATCCATCCATCCATTTAATAACTGCTTATTCCCGAATGGGGTCGCGGGGGGAGTGGAGCCTATCCCAGTGGATGTTGAAAACTACCAAAGTTTTTAAAGTTAGCCCAAAATCCAGTTAAAAAATGACCTAGTTCAGAACTAGCTAGTTCAGTTAGTTGGTTTGTTCGTCCATCTTTTACAGTATTATCTATCTGTTGGTCATGATCGAGATAGTCTGGCATTTTCTTTTGTATGTTTACTTAAATTGAATTTCTATCCTTCCCCTCTTGTTCTTCATTCATTCCAGACCTTAGTCAGCGCGATGGCTTTATGAACGAGGAGGTTCTCACTGAACAACTGTGCAGCCAGGGCAGAACATCTCATTCTCAGGAGGGAAAATGCATCAATCAGGAGGAAGAGCAGCTGGTCCTTCATGAGGACACTTGTGATATCGTGGTTTGTCCCAATTATGAGGAAACTCACCCCAACAAAAGTGACATAAAACCAGACAAGAGCCAGCTTCTCTTTCAGGACCCCACTGTTGATGACAACTTAAGTCAGGAAGCTATAGAGCTCAAAGACTTGGGATCATCGAGAAACAGAGAGCTGAGGCCAATGAAGAGACGTGTCATAAACATTGTAGAGAGCCAGATTAAAGTTGATGTGACTAAAAATTCCTTAAAATGTGATGTTTGTGGCAAGGTTTTTCGCTACAGGTATGAATATACAAGACATTACAGAGTCCACACAGGGGAGAAGCCATATTCTTGCAAAATATGTGGAAAATGTTTCACCCAGGGTAGCAGTTTAAATGTTCACATGGGAACTCACAAAGGTGACTCATTCCACTGTAGCACATGTGGAAAGAGCTTTAAAGTCAGATCACAACTGGTAATGCACCAGAAAAGTCACACAGGTGAGAAAATATACTCCTGTAAAATATGTGGAAATCATTTCTCCCAACATAAGGATTTTACAGAGCATATAAGAACCCACACAGATGAAAGGCCATACCTGTGTAAAACATGCGGGAGAAGCTTCACTCAGAACAGTCATTTGGTCAGCCACATGAGGACTCACACACGTGAGAGGCTGTACTGCTGTGAAACGTGTGGGAAAAGTTTCAGTTATAGGAACTCTTTCATCGACCATTTGCGAACCCACACAGGTGAGAGGCCTTTCCGGTGTAAAACATGTGGGAAAAGTTTCACTCAGAACAGTCATTTGATTGTTCATGTCAGAATTCACACCGGCGAAAAGCCGTATCCATGCAAAATGTGCAAGAAAGCCTTCAAATGCAAAAGTCAATTGTCCTCCCATATGAAGACTCACAGGGGTCAAAATATCTGCACATAAGTTTACTATTTGTATTCAACATTGGTCAGAAGAGTCCATTTTCCTGGAACAATTTGTATAGCTTTTTCGGTTTTTCCTGTTTTGAATACAGACAAAACACTAATATTGTTATAAATAGACAGAGATTTAAATGTAAAGATATTTTCATGTGGAATGGAATGTTCCTGGTATTGTTCAAAATTATAACAGCAGCTATTCGTAAACAGCAGTGCAGTGATTGTGTTGTCTGAGGTCTTCCTGCTGTTTATCACTTTGTTTTCATTTACCAGAACAGCCAAATGTCTTTGGATTTTGTTTAGATTCAAGTTCATTTATCACTCTGTCTCCATGTTACAACATGCTTCTTAGATTATCGATGGAAGGCTGTTCTATACCCTTTTTCTCTCTCTTTTGGGGTTTGCTGTCTGTAGGGAATCAGGTTGCTTTTTCTTTATCCCCTTTCCATCAACCATCTTCTGACCTCTCAGGTCAAACTAAGGCTCTCTGAGTAAAAATGAAACCCAAATATTTAAGTTTATTTCCAAAACATTAACATATATATTAACACCTATTTCTGTAATATCCTGTGTAATAGAGCCCATTTCCAGAACACTGCTGCCGATTTTGGATGGAAAACATCAGGAATTCTGAATTCTTTTGACTGTAGGTTAGACCAGAGGTTCATATGTTAATGTATTACCACAGAAAAGCTTGATGGACTTTTTGGAGGGGCATAGTATAATCATCCATGCCATTTTCAGCCTATTAGATGGTAGAAAACAGCAGTTAGGACTCATTAGCTCTCGGAACTGGAAATTGGCTTTTATACATTGAATGGACAAGTAAGTTGATCTCTAACCAGCTGGGTGTTTTCTCTTTGATGTAATTGCTTGCAAACAGAATCATATCCTACATAGTCTGTGAGGTGACACTTTTTGTACAGATATAATCCAAGTACCAATTTATGATGTTTGAACGGGGCAGAAATTGATCATTTTTTTGGAAGAATTTTACCTACATTTTGGCAATGACCTCAGTCTTTCTTATATGAAATAGCTAAGTTTTAACCTGAACAGTTTCCTGCTGTATATGCTTTACAACCACAGAAGAACAGGATCCAGGAGCAGCACACTCTGGTCTCTGTAAATAACTTGGCCTCATCCATATGTTCCCCATGGAATAAAAAAATAAATAATTATGTTTGTAGACATCAAGAAAAGGCTAAATAATAATGATTGTTCAATTATATTATTGTATTATATTGTATATTATTGATCAATTATAATGTGATAACTTATTTTTTTCTTATTATTGATATTATAATGAAACATTTTTGGATTAAATCTAACTGAAATGCATCCGCAGGTCATACAGTCTTTCATTCTGGCGTAACAGTTGGAGTGGTGGTCAACACCCTAACTTTACGGCAAGAGGGGTCCCGTTTGGAGTCCCGGGGGACCCAGGACCTTTCTGTGTGGAGTCTGCATGTTCTCCCTGTGTCTGCGTGGGTTCTCTCCAGGTTCGGCTTCCTCCCACAGTCCAAAAACCTGCATGTTAGGTTAACTGGATGTTCCAAATTGCCCTTTGGAGTGAGTGTGAGTGTGCGTGGTTGTTTGTCCTTGTGTGTCTCTGTGTGGCCCTACAATGGACTGGCGGACTGTCCAGGGTGACCCCGCCTCTCACCCCCTGAATACTGGGATAGGCTCCAGTCCCCCCCGCGACCCCATTAGGAAATAAGCTGTTCAGAAATTGGATGGATGTTTATTCTGCATACAAGGTCATAATGGGCATACAAAAGGCACTGAAACAGCGTATAAAACAGATCCATGACCTGATCATACTGTATGTTTCATACATTAAATAGAAATAAACCACAATTCATTGTGGCTTTAAATATGGAAATAATCTTATTTTTAACAGAGCATTTTTTTCCTATATCTCCCTGAAGCTAGATGAAACCACTGATTTAGGTACATCGTGGACTTTTTATGCTTTCTATTCATGAACAGTGACAAACTGAACGTCGTTCATGCCCCGTGAGCTCAAGGAGAGAAGGGCAAACTTTCAGGAGGTGCTCACTCATCCAGACTAGCTGCAAAGAAGTTGTGCTCGTTCTGCATCTGCTGGCGGAAGATTTCCACGGCCCGCTGGATCTGGTCGTTGGTTTTCAAGTTGGCATTGAGCAGATTCCTGTAGTGCTTTTCAGGGTTCCCGTGCATGTTGTTCTTCTTCCAGATGAAGTAGGCGTTGCAGTAGGTCTCCTTGAGCTGGTTGGCGAGCCACAGCCAGAGCCTGGAGCAGGGCAGCAGACTCACAGCGAAGTAGATGGGCTCCTCCTTCTCCATGATGGTCCTGTAGTCAGAGAGGTACTTCTCCATGGCAGGGATGGGTTTGATCTCTGACACACCCTGTGGTGGAGAGAAGTGAACATATCACTTTATGACGTGTTCATTTGAGAACCTTTTTCTTATCATGTACAGTACCTAACCACCGAAGTCTCACACAGGGGTGTTTGTCAGTGTTTCTGTTCAGCTCCTGACTCACAGCCTCACAGCAGCTGTTACTGTGTCATATAAACTTTTCCGAAGTTCCCACAGTGGGACAGAAGCTGAACAAAACCATTAATTATTATGTGGGCATTATATGTGCAAAGATTGGTGCTGCTGGAGTGAAGCAGAGCAAAGTTACAGGTTTCTGTTAGAGAGTTAGAGATTCGTTGAGATTTGTGAGCTGTTTTCACTCACAAATAATTTACCTTAATCTAAAATATCAACAGATGCTAAAGATATGTGCATTATAGATTTTTATGGTGAATAAATGTTGTTTTTATGTTTTCTTAACGCGCTGGGCTCAGAGGGGAAATTGCTGGCTGGTGTGTGATGGTGTCTTACTTTCAGGTTGAACTGCTTCAGCATCATTTCACCAAATTTCTTGTAGCTTTCGAATCTGTTCTTCATGAATTTCTTGATGTCCTCCTGCTTCACCTTCTGTGACATCTCCTTCAACATGTCTGTAACCTTCAGCAGGTAGTTGATGTCCTGGATCATGAAGTTGACGTAGTCGTCAGCCTGCAGATCGCCGGACTGCATGTGCTCCAGGAACGGGAGCTTAAGCGTCATCTGGGCGATGTCCTCACTCGCAGCCCACAGCTCATCGTACACATCTGCAGCCTCTGAGGAAAGAGACACTGATGCTCATCATTAGAGGCTTCAACAGGCAAGGTATCTCGAAAAACCACCATAAGGATCTTTGAGTCTCTGCTTATTTATTTATCTTAATGTTGCAAAGGAGGCAAAAGGGAGGCCTGAGGATGCTCAGAACCTCGGCAACGCTTTGCAAATTCATCAGACACATCAGGAAAGAGACCAGTGCTTTCAGGCCATCTATCATCCATCCATCATACATCCACCCATACACCAACCCACCTTCTTTGAGCAGCATGTGCTGTGAGGGGTGGCTGGAGCACACAGACAGCAGAGACACAGCCAGCCAGCAGGTTTCGAACCAAAATCGTTTTCCTGTGGTGACAGAAAGGAGAAATCAATGAACAGGCTTTACACACATGTTTTACATTCAATGAATTAGGATTCTTACTTTCTGCTGTAATTTTATAAATAGTCTTATTTCAGATTTAGTACTCCAGTTTAATCTGGATATGGAGCTGCCTCTAAGGTCAGTGCTCAGCCCAAACCCTTCTCCATGCCATGATCTATTCTGAGTTCTATTATCATTGTGTTCCCCTAAAAAGCTTATACAGGACGTAAATGCTCAGAAAGAATGTGTGGCGTCTTCAGTGGAACCTGAAGAGAGCTTTGGTTTGAATTAAACTCCATTAGTTTCCTAAGTGTGAAAGAAGAAAGCAAATGAAGAAGGATATATGGATACATTGTGTTTTTTGGATTTGATAGAGGCCTGCTGAGAGCAAAAAGAGTTCTGTCATGAAGTTGTTATGGTTTCATTATGCAGGTCCAAATGGGAAAAACTCAGACATTTCATATTAAATGTGGTCACCAATTTTACATCCAGTCTTAATCCAAATAATGTAGATTTTTTTTACAGACTATTCCTGCAGTCTACAGGCAGTGTGACTTCTATTTTATCACTTGCATTCAGATAATAATAATTTCAACTTGGATATGGATGGAAGTTCAATGTAAAAAGTATCATAGACAAGAATCAAAGTAACACGTTACCTGAGTCCATCTTCAGTGTGTGATGTGTTCAGTGTCCGGCTGGCAGCACAGGCTTGATGTTAAGTCGTGCTGGCAAATTCCTTTTAAAGCATCACACCGGGGTGGAGTTTATCAGCCTTTTACTGTCATTCTGTTCCTGAGCCACAGGTGGCTCATATCTCCAAGTCTTGTGAAAGCATCTTACTTACCATGATGCCCTCACTTCCTGTCCAACTTCCCCAGAAGATATTTCATTTTAATATGTGCCGTGGTTACCCAACATTAAGCAATATGAGGAACTCTCGCCCTCTTACAAATGCGATTTAAAGTCGATTTAAAGAACTGAAAAAACAAAACAGAAATAACATTTTAACGTAAACCTCCAGAACAGTGCAACTCTGTTTTAGTCACATCCAGTGACGCACAACTGCTATGACTTTATTTCTAAGAATTCATTTTCACTATTGAGTCATCAAAACTCAAATACTTTTCAGATAGAAACTGTCTTACCTAAAAAGAATAACAAGAAGCTTTCTGCCGCAGATAGAGTTATCTTAAAGAGGGATGGGAAGGACAAAGAGAAGTCACCAAACAGATGAATGAAAAGTGGTTCAAAAGTGTAAAGATTTACGGACAGAATGACGCATGACTGCAGAAAAATAGCACTATCAGAGCCGGAATCAGAAAAAAAAGACCTTGTCAAACTGTTTCGATTGAGAGCTAAACGCCTTTTTTTCTTCACTGAGCCTACCTGTTCTGGCTTTGAGCAGAATTGGGGTCAGATCCAGACCTCCAGGCTGTCCTTTGTATAATTTCATGTCCTACAATGTGATCAAAGTAGTAGTTGTGTTTAGCTAAAACATATTAGATTTGTTTGTTATTTAAAGCAAAAACACTTTAAAAACAGCTAGGTTATTAATTTGTAATCCAATGTTTGTTTGTTTTTTACTGTTTTTATCTTTATTTATTGCAAAAAAGGAAAAAAAACTAATACTGCAACTTCAGATAAGCTTGAAATGGATTATATTCAGCTTGTTATCATTTCAAACTTGAGTTCATCAAAATTTCAGCCATAAACAAAAGCTGGTTCATCTCTGGGTTCAGCATCCACAGCAATATACTGAGAACTCAGAGAAGGCATCCACCTTCAGAGGCAAAGGAGACCCAGGAGTTAGGCTAAAGGCCTTTATGTAGGGGAGTCAAATCGAAGATTTTAAAAGGAGTTCAAGGTTAGTTTCAGGGCACAAATGGAGGAGGATCAGGATAAATAAAGCACCAAAGAAAGCAGGTTAAGAAAGAGTATTTATTTCTTAGATCTGTTGGAGCGTAGTGGCTGAAAATCAAAACGAGAACCAATGAATGTGACTGATGGTCGAAAAGTCACTTTCATTGTCAGAGAGAGGACAAAATGAGTCGGAGAGCAGCTTCAGGGGTCACTGACTCAATTTCTCTTGAATTATCATTGCACAAGACTACTCAGCAAAATTATTCCTGTTTCTGCAGTGAAGTCACACCCAAAACACGATGTTACAAACGCCATCATTCTGCCAGCTGTGCTCTGAATGACAGCCAGTTTGCACTCAGAACTGAAAAAAAAAAAATTCTGAACCTTGCCACATAGTCGGTAAACTCCAGTTTATTCTCTGGCAGGAAAATTTCTGCCTCTAATAGTTTGATATCATACATTACATTTTATCAGGACACCCACATTGAATGAAATGTTAAACCCGACAGGACGATGGGAAACCGGTGGACTGAGGAGAGGGAGCTGGACAGAATGAGAGAGGAAGCAGAGGGACCATGTTTATGTTTATGCATTAAGCAGACGCTTTTGTCCAAAGCGACTTACAAAGTAGTTATCATAAGTTCTCGAGAGGAAAATCCCTATTCAGACAGTAAAGAGAGAGAGGGAGGGGCAGAGAGAGTAGTAGAGGTATGGGTAAGAGTTAGGATGTGGACGGTTTAGATGGGCTCAACAAAATGGAACGTTGCCTGCTGCTAAGCACAGGGGAATTGTGGAGGCCGTGTACCCACCGAAAAGTTAATCTGCGACAGTAAATATCCTGCGTTATGAGACAAGATTTCCAGACAATCATGGAAATTTCCTCATTTTTTTAATGTTGACAGAGAAACTGTTGCTCCAGTGAACATAATGCTGAAAGTTTCCTTAATGCGTCCTCCTCAGCAAGTCATGATAAGATGAATCAGGGTTGAAAATAATGATTCTGTGAAAAGAGAAGATCCTCATTTCCTGTATAGTTTATTTGTCTCTTCTGATAAATGAGGGTGGAAAATATGAGGAACTGATAGAAAAAGATGTAAAAGAGAGAATTATTGGTCAGGACAGGAGGGGAAGGTCAAAGTTAAATTTGACCTTTCAGACAGACAAAGTTAGTTGTCTGACAAAAAAAATACACTACAAAACTGACAGGAGTTAAGGTGTGTGAAGCAGCTGTAGGAAACCAGCTAAAGAAAAAGGATTTCTATCAAGTGAAGCCACCGTAAATCACCAGTGACACCTTAAGAGGAGAAACATGGTTACGAAGAGCAAAAGGGAGGCGGTCATGGCCTGAGAACGAGTGGACAAAAAGGATTCAGGGATACAGGACGACTGGACAGTCTAGGTTGGTAAACGATTCTCTATGAGGCTTCTTTCACAGTGGCTGTTGTGGAAGTTATCTTAAACTTCAGTGAGAATCTGGCTCTTCTTGTACATTTTGCTGTGAGAACTCAGAAAACACAATACACACTGCAGAACACAGACTTTAAAGAACAGAAACTGACCTTTGAAGTATAGACATTGATGAAACGTGTAATGGAAAAATTCTGTGAGTGCGTCTTCGAACACTGTTGCCTTTGAATAAAATACCTATATTGGACAAAATCGATCTTCTCTAATTATTAAGAAATTTTTCTCACTCATTTAAATAAATTTTCCATAACAAACGCTAATTTGAATAAAAACTAAATGTGCTCTAAATAAAGAACAGGAGCATTACTTTAATATATAACAACTGACATTTTGACACGCAACCGTAGGTACACACAAGGCTACACAGAACTGTGGAACTAATATTATCCTCTGAGTTAGAACAAACTCCCACCCAAAAAAGAAGAACAAACGCCACCATCTTTGTGGATTCGAATGTGGTTTCTCACAGTTGGCACGTCTTTAAAGCTTTTCTCACACTATGTACAAGGGTAAAGTCTCTCCTGTGAGTGCGCTCTGAGGTGAGCAGTGAAGTTCTGCATCTGAGTGAAACATTTACCACAACACCTGAAGCCTTTCCACATATTTTTACACGTAGCTTTATTAGAAACATCCTAAAGGGTTTTATCTTATGTCAAAATTAAATTGGACTTCAGTATATATTGGTCTTTCTCGTAATGTTTTTTTCAAACTTGTGAATATTTCTTCAGCAGCAGCAGTTAGCAGCTGGCAGGTAAACTCTCTCAGATGCTTAATTGAAGACATTGTTGCTGAATCTCTGACATTCAGTTCCTATGAAACAAAACTGCCTCTGCGATGAGCCATAGAAATCATCGTATTGATTTTCCTTTTCATTCCTTCTATTGATGCTTATCAGTGTTAGTTTTGACAGAACTACATAGTAGCAAAATTTAAGCATTAGCATGAACACATTGCTATTTATTTTTGTGTTACCCTGTTACCAAAAACAGACTACCAAAGGTGGTAGTCCAAAGATAGCAGGGAGCTCTGGGGCCGGGACTGGATTCAGGAGAAAATTAACAGCTTTCTCCAGAAAATACATTTTATTTGCAAACCTTTTACAAATATTGATATTGAGTCAAGCTGCATCATCAGCATTTTGATTCTGTATTAACCAAAATTATTCTGTTTTTTAGGGATTTATTGACATTAACATGTTGATGGTTGATGAATCAGTTTAAACAGCAGCTTTCAGCACATACACAAATATAAAATTCAGTACATTTACCATAAAAGATCTAAAGTTGCAGTCTTTCCAGTGTCTTTTCTCTCCTCTTTTTCAGAACTCAATAGGTAGTAAGATCAAAACCTTACAATTTGTTTTGTTTCTATCGACAATAATTCAGCCCAGAAGTGAGACTTAAATAAAATATATATACAAATTAAGTTTTCATAGTCAAAGACACCAAAGCTTGAATTAATTATTTTTACACATGCTCAGGACTCAGGTGTCTGAATGAGTTTTTATGTGACAATCTAAACTCTTCCTGTGCTTGAAACTTTCCCCACACATTTCACAAGCGTGTGGCTGCACGCCCGTATGGAGGGTCATGTGGTACAACAAAATGCGACTGTGTCTCAAACTCTTCCCGCATATTTCACAGGTGTAAAGCCTCTCCTTGGAGTGAGTTTGCATGTGGGAAATCAAATGATTACTCTGACTGAAACATTTTCCACAGGTTGTGCATGAGAACGGCTTCTCACCTGTGTGAGTTCTCATGTGGATCGTCAAACTGCTAGCCTGAGCAAAACTTTTCCCACACGTTTTACATGAATATGGTTTCTCCCCCGTGTGAATCCTCATGTGGACATTCAAATGATCACTGCCAGAGAAGCTCTTACCGCATACTTTACAGGGAAAAGGCTTTTCACCTGTGTGAGTTCTCCTGTGCTTCTTCAGATGGGATGCCTTAATACATTTTTTCCCACATATTTTGCACGGATAAAACTCTCCTGTGTGAGTTCTCATGTGGACATTCAAACTACTGCGTAGGGTGAAAGTATTTCCGCATATTTCGCAAGAAAATGGTTTCTCACCTGTGTGCACCCTGTTGTGAGTCCTAATTTGGGACTGAAACTTAAAGGCTTTTCCACAAACATCACATTTGATGGACTTTTGCGCTGATTTGTACCACACTGCCTCTCTGACGCACTGTTACTAAGGGGTCTTAGCTTTGGCCTGAGCTTTTTGTTTGTCGTTGATCCATAATCTTCTTCTGGACCTGGCCTCTCAGCCTCAGGAGAGTTTTGAGAGACAAGATGGTTTCTATTTGGTCCTGCTTCACTGTGGTCAGTCTCCTGATAAGCAGGAGTCACCAGAACAGAATCCGTCTCTCGCTTCACAACCACTTGCTCTTCCTCTTCCCCCTGAATGCTGCACAGTTCCTCTTCTTCCTCCTTAATCTGTGGACATTCTGATCCCTCCTGCTCAACAGTGGAGTTCCTTTCCTGGTTACAGAGCTGCTGCTCAGCAGAAAACCTCTCATCATTATAGAAGAAATGCTGGGGAAGATCTGGACAGAATGAAAATAAACACAGACTAGCACAGTGACTAAAAACCAAGTACATGTTAAAAAATATTCATATGAAATATTCATATCAATTATATGAATCTGTTGATGTTGAAGTAATAGCATGACTGTGGACTCCAGGAGCAGACTAAGTTATAATTTTACAGTACGATTCATCTGCTGTAGATAGTTTTTTAGGCCCAACACCGCTTTTTCCCTCCATTTGTCCAGTTTCCTCAAATGTTTTGAGAACACACAGAACACCGTGCTGAGATATGCCAAGTTTTCAGCTTTTAGATAATTGGGAATCAGCTTGTTGCTGCCTGTAACAATCCTATTTTCTGTCTGTCAAACTGTGTTATCTTTGTCATTTTTCACACAGCAACTAGAAAATGGGAACAAACGATGTGTCTTTGTGACAGTCTGCTGGTAATAAAGAGCCTAAACATCTGATTCAAACTTCTTGTTTTTAAGTTGTTTGTTCTGTGAGGACAACACTGGCTCATCCTTTGAGTTAGGGGCCTTTTTCTGTCTGAATGATTCAGAGCTCAGGGCTAAGCATCTCAGCAAAGAAAAACACATTCCTCTGAAAATGTTAAGTGACAAGGACTGAAAATTAGAATAGAAAACTCAGAAAGAGCTTCAGAAGCTGCAGAACCTCTGCTCGGGATAACTTCAGTGGGTTAAAGGAGGATAGAAATGAGGGCTTATCCGGACTGGTCGTTTCTCTGGTGAATTTGGTGAATTCGTGGTTATTTGCTCCGTACCAGCTGTGCTCAGGGTTATTTGGGGTTTCCAGCTGACTTCCAGCAGTCTGCGCTGACGATCGATCTCGTCCTCGTACTGGACGATGTTATTTCAAACTCTGAGAATATTTCCTCGGCGGCAGCAGTTAGTCGCTGGCTGATAAACTCTCTCAGATGCTTAACAGAAGACATTGCGGAGATAACTTGGATGCTCAAAATATATACCGTTAAAAAGCGAATCACGGGTCAAGACACTTCCTCCGGAGTATACTGTGTAATGATCCGATGGAAACAGCGAGTTTACTCTAAGTTCCGTCTCAACCTTTTTATTTTATTTCTTCATCAGCTTTATGACGATTTCTTGTATTATTTGTGGTACACACTTCCCAAACTCGACATTTTGACAGCATAACCCGCGTTTTGATATGATTTGTAGTCGTTTCAGACTGAACGGCTGTTGTAAAAGCTACAGCTTTTGGTACAGTAGTGGTAATGCGGGTAATTCTCCGTGCTTGTTGTTTGCCTGGTCATGTGCATTGAGCGTTAGAGTTGGTTAGAAATATGAACAATTATTTAGGTTAGTGATAATCTGCAGGTTATCAGACAGGGTCTCTGACATCAAAAGTAAATTTACATAAATGAAACGAACAAATGAAATGATGAGGAATGATTTTAGAGAGGTTGACTACTTTCAGGTACAAATTTCAGGATTACCCCAGCCTCCTGATGTTGCCTCTAAGGTACAACAGAGTTCTGGGGAAGACACTCGTCACTGTTTGGTTCTGATTGGTCACTTTTCTGATCATCAACAATCACAATAAAGGCATCAGGCTCCTGCTTCAGGAAGAACTGCTCTTCTTTTTGACTGGTATTGACTTCTTCCTGCTACCTTTCCATCTGTGCAAGTTGCACCTGGTCCAGACTAAATTTCCTCACCTGGTTAGCAGCTCCACAATGTGACCCTGTATGTGACAGTGGTGAAAAGATTTACTATTCCACCTAGATAAGAAAAGATTATTTTTATAAGGTGATGGTTATTAAAAGCACAAAAAAGCTAATAAACAGCATTTATGTTTATGCCCAGACTTGAAAAGCCCTTTTAAATGTATTTTAAACAACGTTTATTAGCTATACAGGCAGTGTAAATTAAAAATATGTGCGTGGGCACTTTATATACGAAGTCTGAATCCCTCACAGAACAAGATTGATTTAATTTATCGCGAACATTCTCCAATCTTCCAGGAATCCCTCTTGCGACTCGCCGTACTCCACCATCGCGCTTACCTATGACGACATAAACCTGCGACAAAGTGACTGACGGTTACTCAGCGGAGCTAGTTGCCATTCAGCGTCGTTACCCGTCTAATCCGCACCTGAATCCCGGAGACAGCAGGTAGGACCAGCCTGCGGCTGTGGAACTAGCTCAGACATGGCCTTAGGCCCGGTTTATGTCCACGGGGGCGCCGCTGCTGGTTTCCTCTCTGGGCGATAGCATCGTGTGCTTGCAGCTATGGAGAACACGTCACGCCGGGATCTTCCCTAAAGTCCGATGGTTAAAAACAGACAGCCTCCAACGTAGCCCGCTTAGTTGTTAGAGCAATGTCTAGTTCATATAATTAAGTTTCTCGATCCCCTCTTATATTCGGCCGGCGTTTCTTACACATTTTACATGAATGATTGTGAATACATATTATTAAACTGGTTTGGCCCTTTAAATAGTATCTAGTTTTATTGATTTTACTCAAAGATCATTATATGGTTGATCACCTTCGTGTGCTTCGATAAGGTTTGATTAACTTCTGGCTTAGAAGTAAACAGTAATAATAATTGGTTTGATTGTAGCTTTTTTTGTAGCTCATCAGCGGGCTAAGCTAAATGCTAGTCCCCGTTGCCAGTTGAAGGTGAGCCCTTCAAAAAGAAAACCACTGGCTTTTAAAGGATCGGAAACTATCTGTTGTTCCCCATTTGCTTATTGTTGCCGTACTGTTCCGAAGTGGATCAGCACTGACCCAGTTATGCTGGAACATTCTGCTGCTAAAGCGAAATCTGGGGTGTCCACTGCTTAAAAGTTCCAGAAAAGGACCAAGCTCTGTGCTTCGTCCTGTGCTTTAAAGAGTTTATTACCCTGAAAATGGTTTGATTTGAGTCTGATTAGTTATGTTAAGCATTTATAATCCACCACCTTCTCTTCAGCATCTACACTGCAGCCAGTGTGCTGCCATTGCATGTCGGTTGTCCTCTGAAATTCCTAGTTTGACTCAAATCAGTTCAAATGTACATAATATACTTTTTCCATCCTCTCCAATGCCCAAAAAATGACAAGCAAAAAAAGTGATCAAAGCACTCTATAAATAGAACCACAAATGTAGTTTAATGAGAATGTTTCAGAGCCTGAGTCCACACATTTGGGTTAGAAAGTTTTACCACACAAACTATGAAGAAGGGATCTGGAGATGAATTTGAAAATCAGAAAAATTTGGATATTGGTCAGATTCAGGGCTTTTCTGCTTTTGAGCTGCTTTTGGCGTTAGAATATCAGCCAGATGCAGCTTTAAGCATAAGCACTGATATTGATGGTCTGGGCCAATTAGACGATTTTCTAAGTTTATTTAACATTATCTGTTCAACCTGTTGCAGGCGCGTCTCCATCAGAGAGCACAGAGAGGTCTGAGCCTCCGTCACCATGACAGACAACAAGCGCCTTGCCTTTTCCATCATCCAGTTCCTCCACGATCAGCTCCGCTCAGGAGATCTGTCCTCAGATGCTCAAGAGAGTCTGGAAGGTGAGGAAGATCTCTGGATAGCATTTTGTGCCTCCTCTGATCAGACGGTTCAGAGCCTCAGTATTGGAGAACTTTGTGAATGCAGAAAGTCATCAGAAAACATCTGAAGCCTGTTTTTTCCTCTCTGCAGTGGCTGTTCAGTGTTTGGAGACGGCATTTGAAGTTTCCACGGACGACCAGAGTTTAGCCGTCCCCGTGACGTTACCGGAGATCTTTGCGTCTGCCACAGCCAAGGTAGATGAGGGTGGGAGGTTTTGGATCCTTCAGGACAGGAACAACCTCATTTCGGAGGTATTAGGAAGAGGAACAAGGCAGAAACCTGTTTAAAGTGTGTACAAGGACAGATTCTAGGAGAATAACTGAGGTTGCTCTCTATGGGACCAAAATCCATGAGAGGAACTGTAGAACCAGACGGTTTCTTGCTGAGGTGCTCAGGAAGTTTGCCTGAATTTAGAAGCAGACTCGTCAGGTCTGAAAGAGAAGAGCATAAAAACTCCCCCCATGCTCTGACATTTCTTTGTGAATCTGTGTTTTGTGTCAAAGTTTCCAGCTCAGTCGCAGGCCAACAACAACTCCCCCTCCAACTCCCCCACAGAGGAACAGAGAGCCGAGGCAGAGCGGCTGAAAGGCGACGGTGAGTACGAAGGGGTGTTCTCACTCTGTGGGTCCGGTCCTCAGAAAAGCCAGCATGAGGGGAACCAAACCCTGACTGAGCTGTTCTGTCCTTCAGGGAATGACCAGATGAAGGTGGAGAACTTTGCAGCTGCTGTGGAGTTTTACTCCAAGGCCATCGCCCTGAACCCTCAGAACGCAGTCTACTACTGTAACAGGTCAGTCCAGAGACGCCCCAGAAAGCTCTGAGTGGTTAAAGCCCGAGTGGGACCTCCTGATCCATCAGGAACTCTGGGTCAGATGAGCTCAGACTCTATTTACTTCATCAGTAAAAATCTGAACTAATGAGTTTGAGCCCTGGCGATCTGGATCAAACCTCCTCTGCTTTCAGGGCTGCAGCCTACAGTAAGCTGGGGAACTACGCCGGAGCCGTGCAGGACTGCGAGCTGGCCATCGGCATCGATCCCAACTACAGCAAAGCCTACGGACGCATGGGGTGAGAAGCTGCATGTTAAAACCCAAACGGCAGATTGGTAGCCAATGGGGGAGGACAGAGCAGTCATGGGACCAGGCTTTCTGAGTTAAAAAAATGTGTGAAGAAAAAATATCTAACTGTTTGTCTGACATCACTTACAGATTTTAAACCATGCTGTTCTCATGTTGAATGCTGGTTGGTTGGATGGGGGTCTTAGAGATTTGTTTTTGAGGTGATTCAGCTGTTCCTGATGTTTTGCAGCCTGGCTCTGGCCAGCCTCAACAAACACACAGAAGCTGTCAGCTACTATAAGAAGGCCCTGGAGCTCGACCCGGACAACGACACCTACAAAACCAACCTGAAGATCGCAGAGGAGAAGATGGAGACATCCAGCCCAGTAAGACAGCCACCGACCGCCACTTCCTGAGCTGTGATTGGCCGGCCGTGTCTGAATGAATCCTGTCCTCTCTCTCTCAGACTGCAGGCATGGGGGGAGTTGACCTGGCTGGTTTGCTGAGTAACCCCGGCTTCATGAACATGGTGAGAGGTCACTGTTTAAGCCCCGAATGCCGTCAGGCTGGTATGAGTGTTCCTGTGAAGGAACGAAGCATTTCAGACACCACAGGCCTCATTGGCCACTTGATCCCTAATGTCTTAATGTCTCAGTACCTAAGCCAAGACCATAAAGAGGAATGAAAACAACAGTTTCCAAACTTTACAGACACGTTCAGCATTCACAGAAAGCTTGACTTCCAGCGTATAATGCTCATAAAAACATTTCTCTACCCACCAAACACAGTTCTAACTATAAACCGTCAAACAGCAAGCTTCTGTGTGGGGCTGCGGAGGTTCTTCATGAGTTAGGTGGCTATCCAGCTGTGAAACATCTGCCACTTTCTGTCCGCAGGCATCTTCACTGATGAACAACCCTCAAGTCCAGCAGCTGTAAGTTCCTCTCTCTTCAGCCACCTTGTTTTTTCTTTGTTGCTTCTCCAGGCTAACTCCTGTGTTTGTCTGTCAGGATGTCTGGGATGATGTCCGGAGCGTATGGTGGGATGGGAGCAGGAGCAGGAGCAGGAGTTGGAGGAGGAGGAGTGGGATTAGGAGGAGTAGGAGGATTAGGAGGAGGATTAGGAGGAGCCAGTGCTGCAGGAGGAGGCCCTGCCCCCGCAGCCCCCGCTGCCCCGGCAGCTGGAGACCTGTCAGGACTCATCCAGGCGTGCGTACCCGCTCATGTACGCTGCTCCGGCTGCAGATGGACGCTGGTGCTAATGGCTGTTTCTGTGTCTCAGAGGTCAGCAGTTTGCTCAGCAAATGCAGCAGCAGAACCCCGAACTCATCGAACAGCTGAGGAGTCAAATCCGCAACCGAACGCCCAGCGCCAGCAATGAGGAGCAGCCTTGATGCCCACCCAGGTACACACAGGTTCTCAGACGTTCTAGATGTTAAAGCAGAGAAAAAAAGCGTCCTGATTGGAGGTTGTCGTCCTCTGCGGGCCTTGTTTGACATTCTTTTTCCGACTCTTTCAGGTCGGACAGGTTTGGAGGAGGGGGATGTGTCTGGTGACCTTTTTCCTTTCTCATGTGGATGTATAACTCGAAGGACTACACAGAAGCTTTTGTTTTTTCCATCACTGATTCAGGCCTGCATGAGAGACGGCGAGGCCTCGTTCAGGAGCCACGCCTCCCCAAACGCCACCTGCTGTGGCTCTGTGTGGTTTTTATGGAGGGCGATAACCCAAAAATCAGTCTTTAGTTTCCTCTAAAAACCACACAGTGTAACTTTAAATGCTTTTTGTTGGTGCAGCACCGTGTTTCTGAGGCATGAGAGAGTGTCGGCCCTTTAGAGTAAATGAACTAAAAACTCATTGGCCTCATGGAGCTGCAAGGCAACAGCAGGAGGCGGTTTGAACACAGTTTGATTAAAAGCAGCATCTCAACCTTTTATTCCCTTTCTCTCTGATGTCTGATTGTTTTCTGCTTTTCTCACGTTTTCTGCATTAACTTTTTTTATTTTCCTCATTTGATCACATGAAAATTTTCAGGTATAAAATGTAAGGGTTTTTTTGCCACAAAAAAAAAACAGGAAGTAATTCAAAATGCAGCTTATAAACATGTTTACTGGAGGTGTCATTAGGGCAGTCCATGTTTGGGTAAGGACTTTTCCCCTTGTGCCGTCCTCTGGACAAATGAGCAGATATCTCTGAGGTCAGAAAGAGCTCAGAGCTTTGGCTGTTTTTGGACATGTATAAAAATAACAAATTTATTGTTGTTTCTTTTTCTTCAACATAACCATCACACTGATTAAAGTGCTCACAGAAGGTTACTCCATACCCCAAGTGGGGTGGAGGACTAGAATCATGTTTTTATAGCAGAGAAATTCTGTTTTCACTGGTTGTGTGATTGGATTCAGGACTGTGCCCCCTTGTTATTAAAGTAGAGACGTTCCTGTTTTGGTCCACTGTAAATTTACCACAGAATGGGTATGAATAATCACTGATCAAATCCATTATGCAACATCTCAGAGGAAAATATTACTGTTCAAGCCTGAGGCCCATGGAAAAACAAATCTACAGAGAGCAGCTGCTCACCACTAAAAATGAGAGAGGGAAGGAAGCATAGATGAGCTGGCAGTTTTTAACATTTTATGGACTGGAATATACTAGTATTATTTTATGTCAGCTATCAGTCTAACTTACATTTTTAATACATAGGATGAAGTATCTCAAACAAAATACAATGTATTTACAGCTATATTCACATAACGAATTAAAATCTGCTACAAGCAGATTAAAATAGTTAATTTTTCATCGGATGATTTATCAAAATTATTAATCATGTTCCGTATTGAAATTTTTACATTTTTCTGTAAACAAGTGAATTTGTTCACGTCATCCAAAAAATCCACCACTCACAACTCGTAGATTATCTGACGTTACAGGAAGTATTTTGTATGTTTGTGCACCTGCTGAGAGAGGAGGAAGCGTAGTGTACGGACAGGTAAACTGTGCAGCTTCGGATATATTTATGTCGTAATGTGTTCTTTATGATGTTAGGTCACTATTTGTGTTAACTAACAAAGAATGGAGTCACCACTGTGATGAAGGGCGTCGCGTTTGTGACTGTTAGCCTCATCTAGCAAGGCTAGCGAACATAAGGGGAAGTTAGCCAAAGTTAGTGTGACGGTCACCGGAAGTTGTCTTATTTCGCGTTTAATTCAACTGTATTTTTAAAAAACACTTTAAAGATAACGTAATGAAAAACTGCAAAACTTAGCTTTAGCTCTAAATGAAATGTATTTACTTGAAAATAGCAAAATATAAATTGAGTTGTTCTCCTAAATGGACTCTATTTATGAAATCATGACCGGAAGTACAGTGTAGTTCAATTAAAATTGTGGATACTTTTTCTTTACTACTGATCGAACGTTTAAAGCATTTTGTTTTTTGTTTTAAAGTTTGTTTAGAAGGCAAAATCTGGTTTGAATCCTTTGTTTAAGCTCTGATCTCTGTCAGTATGATAAATTCATGTTATTCCTGAAACCAAGTTCATACATTTTTCCTTCAACCAGTTTGAGTTTGTTACCATTTAAGTAACGTTCATCCAAAGTGTTTTTTTAAAACACTTTCATTCTTACTATTTTTATTTTTTGCTGTATATTATGCTAAATGTTGTAATTAAGCTGCTTTATTTTATTTATCGGATCGTTTTTCAGTTGGTTTTACTCTGTTTATTTAGTGTTTTTCTACGTTAACTGCTGTTTTTCCAACTTTTTACTTTTTATGGTTATGTTATTTCTGTAACAAAAACTGAATAAAAAGAGCTTTATAAATAAAGTTGAATAGCTGTTTTAGTGTCAGCCGAGGGCAAAATCCCTTTCTGTTTGAGGCTGAAAGCTTCTTCATGATGTAATTTTCCTCGTTAAATAGTTTTTATTGTAAATGTGGCCTGGTCTCCTCTGGTGGTCTCTGTGTTGCAGCGTCTTGTGTGATGACTCCTTATTGGTTGTAGCATCAGGATGCAGATCCTGCTGGCAAGGCTGCTCGGCCTGCTGGGGCTGTTCAGCCTCATGCTGGCCGGGGTTCTAGTGCCGGTGCGCCTCTTGATGGTCGACTACGAGAAGGCGAGTAGGTACAGGCGGGCGCTTTCTCTGTGCAACTCCTTCGGAGGAGGTGTGTTCCTTGCCACGTGCTTCAATGCTCTACTGCCGGCCGTCCGAGAAAAGGTACGAACACAGCAGAATGAACGTACATGTGGAAACCCTTAATGATAAAACCTGTTTTTGAACTCCGACTAAGGAAGCTAGAGGAGGTTTAGAGGTAAAGGAAACACATTCACTTACAGCTCAGTTACAGAGATCTGTTTGCATGTTGGTTTGCACACACTTAGTGAGTCAGTGTGTTTGTTTGCTGATCGCTGGCGTGGTGTTTCCTTGGTGTCTTTAGGCGAGCGGCGTGATGGCGCAGCTGCACATCAGCAGTGACTACCCACTGGCAGAGACGATGATGATGGTGGGCTTCTTCCTCACCGTCTTCGTGGAGCAGGCCGTGCTGACCTTCAGGAAGGAGACGCCGTCCTTCATCGACCTGGAGACCTTCAATGCCGGTGGCTCTGAGGCTGGCAGCGACTCGGAGTATGACACGCCCTTCATCTCCTCAGCGCGGGGCTCCGTGGCTGGGGGGAGGCGGCACGGCCACCATCACGGTCACTTCAGCCCGGCGGATCTGGCGGGGGCGGGGCCTCTGCGGCTGGCCGGCCTGGTCCTCGCCCTGTCGGCGCACTCGGTGTTCGAGGGGCTTGCGCTCGGCCTACAGGAGGACGGCGCCAAGTTGGGCGGCCTCTTCCTGGGCGTGGCAGTGCACGAAACACTCGCCGCCGTTGCCCTCGGGGTGAGTGTGGCCAAGGCCTCGCTCGGCATGAGGGACGCCGCCAAGCTGGGCGTCACTGTCAGTCTGATGATCCCACTGGGGGCGCTGGTAGGGGCGGGCATCCAGTCAGCGCAGACACTGGCCGGTGGAGTGGCGTCCGTGCTTCTGCAGGGACTTGCCGCCGGGACTTTCCTGTTCGTCACCTTCTTTGAGATCCTGTCCCGAGAGCTGGAGGACAAACAGGACCGGCTGCTCAAAGTGCTCTTCCTCATCCTGGGCTACACTGCGCTCGCCGTGCTCGTCTTCATCAAGTGGTGACGGGCAGGAAGGAGGGTCCCGGACTGGACCCCGCATCTGTTCCTGTCACTTCAGTGCAGCTCAAAGGCACCGAGGGGCTCCAAACCCAAAAGAAAGAGACATTTTTTAATTAAATGATTTGTATATAAAGAAAGTTACTGCCAAGGTTTGCTTTTCTGCGTTCATCAAAACCAAAGAGAAGCAGCAGAGACTCTGTATCATCCAGGGGTCAGAAGGAGAAAAATCAAACCCAATAGAATCCTCCCCAGCACCAAAGAAAAGGTTCGTGGAAGTTTGAGAGGGAAATCTAGGTCAGCTCGTCTTTAATCAGGCCGAGATCAGCACCACATCACCCTCTGAAGAAACACTTAAAAGGAGACTCTGTTCTGGGACGGCAGGAACCGGGTTTGGTTTCGGGAACCCACAGTATCCGCCTGACTCACTGGACTAAAAGTAGGTTGTGCTGGGTGGGCAATCTGCCACCAGAACCAGCAGCCACTCCCCGTCCTCTGTTTGAATGTTTTCCGAATAATTTATTTTGAGTTCTGCGCCTGAAGAGGTTTCAGCTCCAGCTTGTTGTTTGTACTTCCTCGTTCCTCAGTGACTTGTGAATCAGATTTATATTTCTGAAAGCCTGTGTCCATAGAAGCGATTTTACTTTTGTTAAATGGAATAAAACAGACCCTGAACTCTTTCTGGGTGTTTTTATTGGAAATAGGACATTCAGATTGATTTCAGCACTAATATTAATCAGAGTGTTTTGAATAGGACAGAAAGAATCAGAACAAAAGAGAATCTGTTCATTGAGAATAGAAGACGCAGAGCTGACTCTGACCTGCAGATTTCTAGGGCTTTGTTCACATTCATGTTCCATAAAGCTGAAAGTAGCTTCTGGATGTTATCAGACTCAGCTTTATTTAAAGCTGGGCTCAGTGAGGGGAAAAGAGATTTCTGTAAAACTACAGCTGAGAATCACTCCAGATCCAGGAAATGGAAGAAGTCCGCCTGCCTTTACTCAGGCTCTGCTTTGAACTCTTCCGTTTCAAAGCAGAATTTTGCTAAATGTGGTGCTCCATAAACCTGGAACCGTGGCCTGCCCCCTGCGCTCAGGCTGGCTGCTCATTGGTGGGCTAGATCATCCTCCTGAGTGTCTGGACCTTCCGGGCCCTCAGTCTAAGCTCCGGTCCTGGGGTCCTGATTGGATTAGGACGGATGCACCAGAGTCTGATTGTTTGTTGTCACACTTAACAAAAAGTTGTGACAAATCCTAGCGTCATGCCACTGGCCTCCACCGGCTGCTGCTTTAATCCCGCAGCCTGTAAGTTAATCATTTGGAGCCAATCTGCAGATTAAAGGACTCTGGGGCATTTTGCTGCTTCCTGTTAGAAGGATTCTCTGACCTCTGACCTCTCAGACTGGATTTGCTGCTGTTTTTGTGTCCAGCTGAAGATGATAGTTTCCTAGAACCCCACCACATGAGGAAAGCTCTCACATAAAAGCTAAACACAACCCTGGTACTTTAAATTCCACTTTGTTGAACAAGCCATTCTGATCCTCAATTCTGAAAGACTGCAACTTCAGTTTATATGACAGAAATAGCAATACTGTGAGCATTTTGCTCCATGAGGGGTCGTTTGTGTCCTGAACACCAACGGATGGTATGAATATTCACAAAACACCAATACATTTATGAGGAATGTTAATTTATTTGAACTATAAAGGATGGATAAAGAGCCACAAAATTCTGAGGAATTCTGCGAAAGTTCACCCTGTGCCAATTATTAGAGGAAAACATTTGAGCTCAAATTGGGACCCATGGACCGCAAAGGAATTGAATCACAAGCTTGTGGCCTCAAAGTGTCCATTATAATGTCAGAACTTTAAAAAAGTGTCCATACTTTAACAAATCTTCAGCATTTTAAGAGTTAACGGGTACTTTTAAAATCAGTAAAGTTATTTTTTCAGGTTTGAAGACTTATTCATCAGCAGTGATCAACTTCATCTCCTTCACTTATGTGGCAGACAGGGGAATTAGATCTGGTCTGTGGCTGCTCTGATCAAACATTCAGCAGGTATGGAGCTACTCACTGAAGATTTCCCCACGCCCCGAGTAGGTTTCAGGAGTTTAAATGAGCAGAACCATGTTTTTATACCAGAGAAAGACTGTTTTAACTGGTTCTGGATTAGGGTGTGAGGCCCCCTGCCATTGAAGCGGAGATCCTGCTGAATAATCTCCGGATTGCTTCCTGTTTGAGGTGAGTCAACGTTCAGTGCTTTTTACAGGAAGGTCAACTGAGTTGAGGAATTTCCCCATCCACTTTTTCATAAGCATGATCTTTTGTCACATTTAAGATTTCCTGTAAATGTTAAGCAACAATGAGAATGACAGTGAGTAGACAAACGTAGCCAACAACATGTTCTACCTCCCACTTTGCGTTCTGTACTTCCTGGAGCTGCTCGCTTTGCTCTTCCTGAGACTCATCGTCTGAAGGTCAGTCGCTTCATTCACTCACAGCTCAGTGACTCGTTTTTTCCCCAATTTATTCTGTTACATTTCTTTTTTTGGCCTAAAGGGAACTGATGAGCTATTAAAATGAGTTTGATTCCACCCTCCAACATGTATTTTCTCCTCTTTCCTACTTTACAGCTGATTAAAGCGAATACATTTAAACTGGTTAAACTTTTATATGTAAAGGCAAACCAAGGGATTTTAAAAATGATGATTTGTTAAGTCTTCTTACACATTTGTGAAGTCTTCTGGTCACTTTTGTGGAGTTTGTTGTGGCCTGTCGTCCTGGATGAAGGCTGGAGATCTGTCTCAATAATAATTTTAATGTCAGCCTAATCTGGGCTAAAAAGAGTAGACTGAAACCTGCAGAATTACTAAAAGAAGATAAATAGCGAGAGTCAAAAATCTACAAAACGAAATGGGGAAAACATCCCAGAGATCAGACGTGTCAACAGAAAATATCCTCCTAGTTCCGCTGCTCCTCTGTGAGGCCTGAGCTGGGTCTTTTATTACCTCACAGCTGGATGGATTTCAACCACCCCTCTCTCCTAAAATACTTACAGGTAAATTCATGGTTCAGCTAAGGAAATGACCCTCTTTGGCTTTTTTTACAGGCTGCACAGCTAAGTCAGATACCCCTGAAACATGGACGTCTACGACCTCTTGTGGATGAAGAGCCGGGACGTGGCCGAGCAGACGCTCCAAGTCCCGTTTGTTCAGCACATGCAGGCCGGAGACCTGCAGGCGGACTGCTACACCTGCTTCATGATCCAGGACATCAACTACCTGGTGAGGGTCACAGACATGCTGGGAGTCATGTGTGAGCGGGGGGGCCTCCCAGAGGACATCCGTCTGTTCATGGAGAACAGATACAGGAGCTACAAGGAGTATGCCAACCAAACCCTGCATCAGTTCAACCTCAGAGTAAGTCATTCATTTTGAATAATGTATCAGGAAATAAATCACAAATCCATCTGATTTTCATGAGGTTAGGATAGGTAAATAACTCCAACACATTGAGTAAAACCCAAAGTTTAAGGAACCATCAATTGCTTTGTTCTAAATAGGCCACAATCATAAGCTTCTAAACTTGGATTTGAGCCACCGTCCCTGGAAAAATTCCAGAGCAGTGTCGGGGACACCTAGCAGTAAAAGGATTGTTGGAACTCATACTTTATTTAAGCTTTACAGACTGAAAACAAATTTTACAGATGTTTGGGGGGGGGGGGGGGGTGTTCCTAGTTAGGAGGAGTGACTTTTCACATATCTGCTCGTTTCCTCCACAGGGCGTGTCGGACATCCAGCCCATCCCAGCCATGGAGAAATACCTGAGGGATTATAAGGCCATCATGGAGGAAGAGGAGCCAATCTTTTTTGCCGTGGCTCTCCTGCCCTGCGCCAGGCTCTGGCTGTGGCTCGCCACCAGCCTCCAGGAGAAGGAGTTAAACGCCTACTTCACCTGGAAGAAAAACAACATGGTCGGTCACCCTGAGAAGCATTACAGAGCGCTGCTGGACGGGCACCTGACAACCCCTGACCAGGTCCAACGGGCAGACTGGGTCTTCCGCAGGCAGATGCAGAACGAGCACGACTTCTTTGCAGCTGCGCTCAGATAGCAGATAGCCAGCAGAGGCTGCAGCTCTGTCTTAGCTTTTGACTGCGTGATTTAAATAGCCCACTGTTTTATGTCTCTTCCGGCTTTTGTGCTCCTTTTACCAGAAATGTACAAGGCACAGACTTCTGCTCCAACAATGCCTCATTAAAACTAGAGTTTGAGCCACAATGGAGTCCCTGCTAAGTTCGTAAGTCAGACAAAAATCCAAAAACTGATGTTTATATCTGTGCTCTCTGCTCACTTCACATGAAGTTCTCTTTTTAAACATGGTGGAGACATATGACAATCACAGCACCCACGCATAATAGGACAATACCAAAAACATTAAAAAAAACATTTAACCTTTAAGGTTTTCCAGAGTAGCAGTTCTGCAGCTTTCTGAGGCTCTCTCAGAGTTTTTAGCTTTTTCTATAATTTTTAGTCCAGTCCTTGAAGCCGAACATTTTCAGGGGAATATACTGTATCTCATCTTCTTTCAGCCACTTGACTCTGAGCTGTTAATATTTCAGACAGCAAAAGCCCCCTAACTCCAGGAATTAACCAGTGTCGTATTCACACAGAGCAGACAACTTAGCAAGGAAGCTGTTTAAATTGGATCTGTAGGACAATGGGAGGGATTATTCATCTTTTCTTTTCAGTGGATCCAGGCCAGTAGTCTCTGATCCTTTCTGAATGATAGACAGACAGATCTTGAATCCACTGCTGAAAAAAAAACTGAGGCTTCATGAAATGAATTGAATAATATTTGTGAGCCTTGTTTAAAACTTTGTCCCTAAACAGGATCGGAGCTCTCCTCTCGCTGGCTCCTCAGCATAGAGGGCAGCAGCAGTTTTCTCCCACCTCCTTAAGCCTCTTAGTGGTGTAAGGCAGCCTGGCTCTGACCACTGATCGTCTAAGCCCGTGGTGAAAAGGTTAGCTCGGCCGGAGCTCTCAGAGGCTTGCCAACCCCACAACCGTCGAGGACATGGAGGAGCTTCTGCTGCCCGGCAGTGAGGAGGAGGCGCGCTCCGAGCACAGCTCGTTTGCTCCGCTGGACTCAGAGAGGACGATGTGGGAGCGGGTCAAATCTTTCTTCCAGGAAATAGGGATGGGAAGCCTGAGGAGCGTAAGGGATTTCTGTAAGAGGAACGGGCTGCTAACGCTATCAGTCATCTCCGTCATCACTGGCTGCACTCTGGGCTTCATGCTGAGAGGAACCCAACTGTCCACACAGGTACACCAGCACATTTCCCCTCAGCTTCCAGATCCAAACCTTTAGATTCAGGATCCAAAACCCTGTAATTTGAGGATCCAATAACCTTTAGGTTGTGGATCTGAGTGCTTAGATTGGGGACCTAAACTCTTAGATCCAGGTTCTGAAACCTTAGATCCCTAAAGCAGCAGCTAATGTTAACAGCCTAGCTTCTAAGGGGTTCTTGCTGAACTTGATCAGATATTCTGACCACAAGTCTGTTTTTAGTATTGAAACAAGACCTAAAAAAAAAACACTGTTTACTCCAATGTGGAAGGAGGGAATCACGGCTGCAACCAGTGACAGAAACCAGGTATCAAGGCTGATCTCCGAAAAAAGGAGGGAGTCACCATAGCAACCAGTGAAACAAGCTGGCCCCTGAAATAGGAGATTTACCGTAGCAACCACTGAAAGACACATTGCATCATGGCTGCCCCCCTAAAAAAGAGGAAGTCACCATAGCAACCAGTGAAAGAAACTTCCATCATGGAAAACCCCTGAAAGATGAGGGTGTTGTCATAGTAACCAGCTGTTTTTCATTTTTTATTTAAAAGCTCTTCTCCCGCAGCAGTCAAGTGTCAGAATCTTTGTAAAAAACACTAAAATTGGCTTAAAGTTTCACTTTAAAGTTTGTGTCCTTTAACTAACATAAAATCCAATGTTTGAGTTGGCTTTGTGCTAAACGTGTTTGTAGTTGAAGATAAAGTGTAGGAAAGCATAAATTTAGGGGTGGAATTATTCAAACATTTGGAAAAGTTCTACAAAAAGGATTAGATCTTTATTATATATATTTTTTAAAAATCAGGTTTTTACTTTGTGGTGTAAAACAGACGCTCTCATCACGATTGGAAAATGTACCCAGACTTTAGTGCAGTGAAAATGAATTTCTAAATCCTGATTTCAGTTCACTGTTGAGTGAACTCTTTCTCAAGAGCAAGTTAATACATTTGACCTATTTGAACCGACCTTCATTCAAAGTACAGTTCATTATTTTTTCCACCACAGTTTCTCCAGAGTTGGTTTGTTTGTTTCTATCAGGACTTAATTTAGCATTGTGTAATTTCAGTGCCACATTTCAATTTAGAAATACTTAACAGCAGGTTGTGTGGTTATTAGATTCCCCTGTTTCACTTTTTGTGAATCTAATTCTGTTTGCAATCAGTTCCTCAGTCAGTAATTTGATAAACAGTTTATTGGTTTAAAAACATCTTTTTGGGGTGTTTGAGCTTCTAATCAGAAAACTTTTTTAATATGATTTGATTTTCAAGTACAGCTGTCTTTTTTTTAATAAAAAGAGGATAATTATGAATGTGTGGCTGGAGATTCTGTGACTCAGATCTGCTGAGACAAATATCTATTTCAACTTTTGTATTTAAAATAAATATGAACATGAAGCACCACATGAGGCTTAAAACAGGGGGTTTACTGAAGTATTTAGTTATGTTTGTAATAATTGTGCATCAGGGTTCAATTTCAGACTTTTAACTCACACATAAACGGATAAGTTACAATCTTAAGTCGTGGGATATGCTTGTTTAAAGAGCTGAAGTGAATAAATTCTAATACAGAATCGATTTAATAACAGCATAAAATCAAAACTTACATACATTTTTAACACAAACAAAACAACAGCTCAGAATAAAACCAGTTTCAAACTTTGTGGAGCATGTTAGTTAAAGATAGTCTTTCCTGGTAGAACTGATCCCTCTCACTCTGAACTGTGGCTGTTACTGTTTATTTCTGGGAGATGTTTAAATACAGCTTAGCCATCAGCCACTCGGCTGAATGTTCAGGGAAACAAGTTTAAGTTTAACAAGTTTCCCTCATCAAACCTTTTTCCATCAGCTGTTTGGAGGGAATGAAATAGTCTGGGGTGACTCATCTGCCTTCTTTGAGCAAAAACAGTGACTCCTGCCCTTTGTATGTTCACATCATTGCTATTGATCAGACATAATGTGAACTGTCAATTAGGGCTCATTTTAAGATCAAGCCACACAAATCTTCAGTTTATTCCTTAAAATACACTTTATTTACTTCAAACCCAAGTCCAGATTTCACATTTCTTATGTTGACATTGATTAAAGAGTACACTTTTTTTGTGGAAGATCTCCTTAAACAGGAGATTTAAAACACTTTTGGTTCCCCTCCAAAGGCCAAGATTTACTTCTCCTTTCCGGGAGAGCTGCTGATGAGGATGCTAAAGATGCTCATCCTTCCTCTCATCACGTCCAGGTGAGGAAATCTAGCTGGGTCTGATTTTGTGGAAATGTGTTAAGCTTTTACCAAATCAGCTGAGAAGAAAAGACTAGACTAAAGGATTGAATTAAATTAGATTAATAAATTTGAATGAGGTTGGTGTTTCAGTTTCCCTGTGTTCTGGGTCTTTACTCGTCCTGCAGTTTAATGTCGGGTTTGTCGTCAATGGAATCGAAGGCGTGCTGCCGGATGGGCGTCCTCACCGTCACCTACTACCTGTGGACCACCTTTATAGCCGTGGTGGTCGGCATCATACTGGTCATCATCATCAAACCAGGCGTGGGGACGGACATGGAGAGCAACCGGCTGGGCGGAGGGCCCGTCATGACCTCAGCTGATGCCCTGCTTGATCTGATCAGGTGGGGCAACATTTCTGCTCTAAATACTTTGCAGGTGCCTCATTTCTGATGTGAATCTATCCCGACCAAGTTGCAAGTTAGTTTGTGTGTAAAAACTGAGTCCAAGCAGCTGGTGGAAGCTCCTCCGTCGGCAGGAGGGTGATGGTGTTTTCAGCCTCTCAAATGACTGTGGAGGACTTTGTCCCTCTCTTCTTTCTTCAAGGCTCTTCAGCTAATTGAGGGCTGCCAGTTTCAGCCCAGCTTTAGAGACATTATTCCCTCTAACTTGGGGCAGCATAGTGATAACCTTCTCATCCTTAAGATGAATAGAAATCAGTATTCAGCTTTATTCGTATTTAGATAGTCAGTGTCTCAGAAAAGCTGATTTAGATAATTTATTTTGTTGATTGAATAGGTTTCTTTTTTCTGAAAGAGCTGTTTGCATTACTGCTGCTAAATGTGTTGCTGAACCAGTGAGAAACACAGAGGCTGAGCTGGTTTATTGTAACAGCTAAATCATGAGGTTCTGAAGGATTGTTGGAGGCTATAAAGTCAGCAGATTCTTATAGCTCCACTCAGGTCCCTGAAATCATCTAAAGAGCACAGATCAGGGCTACTTGGTTTGGTTTATTATCAGGAGGCACAGACGGACACACACCAGGCTGGAGTTAGTCTGAGTTCCACCTGACTGGGCCATACATTACAGTTTCAGCCTCTTTAAATGGACAGAAAACAGCCCAGATCATCATCCATAAACAGCTTATTTCTGTGGCTGTCGGAAAGCCCTGTTGGATTCTGAAGACAGTTGAGGAAGCTCTGATGCTCAGAGTCACAAATCCGATGATTTGGGGGATGTTTTGTATCATGTTTCCAGCTTGGAACTCTTTCAATTTCCCAGAATGATAGGCAGCTCAGTTCTTTGGCCTGCCCTTCATGGCAAGTAGAAATTTTAATTGCTCACAGACCAGCAGTCCAGCCGTTAACTCAGCTGAGATCAACAAAGCATCCAACCCAAACCAAAACACACACCAATCCCATTAGAGTACAGGCTGATCGGTGTATTTTTAGTTATCCTAGGAGGATAAGTAACAGATTAACATAGTCAGAGATCTCTGCTGTGGAGAGTTGGTTGACCGAGGTCTCGTGCCAACTTTGGAGGAAGCTGCACGAGTAGATCACATCATCATCATCATCATCATCCTTTTAAGCCGTGACCTCAGCCAAGAGTCAGCTGATCTGAACAGCATAGTGTCACATGACCAAACATGGCTGCTGATGGTCTCAAAAATGGGCCAGTTTAGGTGCTGTGGTTGGACTTAACTGGACAGTTTGTATTAAGGAACCTGGGATGTTTGTAAGTGGAACGGGAGCAGGTCAAAACTTCATTCAAACAAAGCACTCAGGGGTCATCTGTGGACTTTCTTGTTTTCCTTTGGTTGTATTTTGTGATGGTACGTTTGTTTGAAATGACTTTACAGCTTTTTGCATGCATCCGTGTAAGCTGAATCGGTTTGTGGTGACGCAGGGAAACTGAAGCCTCAAGGATGAGGAGCAGCTGTGTGTGGATGTAGTATTTTGTAATTTATGTCTTTAACCACCTGCTTTTTCCACAGAAACATGGTTCCCTCCAACTTGATTGAAGCCACATTTCAACAGGTAAGACAAAACTGGTTTAACCACCTCATCACCCCACATTTTCTGCCACCTGTTGTCCTCCCAAGTGAGGGTGACTGATTTCTAAATCATGAAGTATTAAATGATCAAACTGTTTTGTGTTCCACCTTTTTGTGGGCTTGCCTCCAGCACCTTCACAACACTCATTTTTGGAATTGATGATAGAATAGAGCTCTTCTATATGTTGGATCAGGGGCTCATATGTTGACGTACTATCATAGACAGGTTTATGTCAGAATTTAGAAAGTAGCGTATGAACCATCCATGTGACTTTCTGCAAGTTAGATGGAATAAAACCACAGGTAGGACTCATTAAATCTTGACTGTCTCAATCCAGTACAAGACAGACCTGATCCCCATCCTTAAAGTTCCAACCAAAACCATCCAGCCCAACTTTGTCTACGTCATTCCGGATGACGACGACCCCAAAGGGCGGACGGTGTACCTGGAGCTGACTCCGCCCCCTGATGTCATGTACAAAACCAGTCCCGGCAGCAGCCAGCAGATGAATGTGCTCGGCATCGTCATCTTCTCTGCCACGATGGGTGAGCTCAATAAGTGACACTCATCAATAGATGAAAAAAACTAAGAAATTGGGCCTTTTTTGTAATTGTAGATATAGTTAAGTGTGTGATTGATACTTCTGGCGTTTATTTGGGCTAACAAGGTCAGTATGAGCTTGTCGAAACTAGAAAAGAAGAAATTGTTAAGCTAAAGGAAGATGGGACTGAGTTTTTTTTTTTTTCTCCAATAAGTTGGGTTTTTGGGTCGGCAGGAAAAACCTGCTGGGTCTGGATAATGTGTTTGTTGGGACTTGAAGGGGTGTTTTGGTCTGATGCAGGTCTGCTGCTGGGCAGGATGGGAGAACGTGGAGCTCCTCTGGTCAACGTCTGTCAGTGTATCAATGAGTGTGTGATGAAGATCATCAACGCTGCTGTTTGGTGAGATGAGCCCCTGCACCCATTCACCATGTTGTGTTTTTAAGAAAAACCTTTTTTAAAACTTTTTTTTGCCCGGCTGGAAAAGTGTACAGTAAACTAAACTTTTACAGGATATAGAAATGACTGAATATAGAACAAAAATACAAAGCACAGAGAACAAGGCCTGTTGGGTCCAGATCAGCTATAATGGGTGTGTTGGTGGTCTGAGTGCTCACGTCTTTCCCCACTAATGAGGGATTATCCTTGAAAATGCAGCAGGATGATGATCACCTGACCTGCTGACCCATAAGATGGTCAAAACGTGCCATCTGTGACATCACTGTGGCTACGCCCCTCAGGTTGAAGCCCTGAGCTGATTACAGCCACCAGCGGCACCTCCTCTGAACACACAGAATCCTAGTGGTTTATAGACCTTTTGGTAATTTGCCTTTCACCAGTGATGGTTGTTAACCCCTTTGTGGTAAATTTGAGATAATCCACTTGTACACGTGAAGCAGCTAAAACAGAGGATTTTATCCCTGAAGGGAAGGCTGATGCATGTTCAATATGTATCTGAAAAAGTCTGGGGCTATAGCAGCAGAACTATGGGATGTTTCAGGATTACTGAGCTATCCCTAATCATAAGTTTGAAGCCTAAGCTCAGGAAGAGAGGGGTTCTGCCTCCTGAACCCAAAGCAAATTAAAAACGAGGATTATTTTTGCCGTCCTCTTAGGTATTTTCCATTTGGGATCATCTTCTTGGTGGCTGGAAAAATCCTGGACATGCAGGACCCGAGCACACTCGGGAAGAAGCTGGGCTGGTACGGTATCACTGTGCTTGCCGGCCTGTTCGTCCATGGCCTCATCCTCCTCCCTTCCTTCTACTTCATCCTCACCAGGAAGAATCCCTTTGCCTACATCCGTGGGCTTCTTCAGGCCATGGTGATTGCCCTGGCCACTTCTTCCAGGTCAGTGTGGCTCCAACTAGTAATCTACAGTTGTCATTACACTTTGTGAAATTCACACGAGCAACATCTCTTGTCAGTTCTGCTACGCTGCCCATCACCATGAAATGCTTGTTGGAAAACTGCCATGTTGACCGGCAGATTGCTCGCTTTGTCCTCCCTGTTGGAGCCACAATTAACATGGACGGCACAGCGCTATACGAGGCAGTGGCGGCCATCTTCATAGCTCAGGTTAACGATTATGAGCTGGACTTTGGCCAATTAGTCACTATCAGGTAAACCTTGATGTTCATTTTGTGTAGACAGTGCAAACTTGGGGGAAAGCAGAGATCCGCTAACATGCAGTTATCTATACATGAAAATCAAGATAACTTCCAAACCCATACTAAGCTTAAAAGGGGATACATTCAGACTCACTTTTTAAGCATGATTTATTCTTTTTTATTTTTTACAAAATTAAAGAGTCAAAAACAACTAAATAAATCTAAGCAAACCTCATTGTATTTTGTTTTATATTTGGTATATTTTTACTATTGATTCAGCAAAAGCATTCTTTGGTTCTTTTATCTTCTTTTGAGGTCCATCCATACATCTTTGACTCCTGAATTTCAATGAAAATCTGGAAAAACATTTTGAGGTCCAGCATTTATTTTTAGCTGTGTCAAGATGTTTGAATTATTTTAAGGGTTACTTTCCTGTACAAAAATAATCTGATTAGGGTCTCATATGGTTTGATATGCTGATGAGATGTTATAATCTCTTTGTCAACAACACAAAAAAACATTAAAATATTAGCTTTTTGCATCAGGGAGTTTGAAAAATCTTGTGGGAGCTATAGCTTCAATAAAACCTCTCAGTTTAATTGTGGACAGTATATTAAATATGTCCGAAGTTTTCAATATATAAAGAAAATATAAGAAACTTGTGATGTGAATTGTAGAGTTTATGTCATGACATATCATATAAACCTAACTTACAGCGCAAACAGAGTTTCTGCCATTTACAGTTGTTTAATGGATTTGGGATGGTGTAGAGGTGGTACTGTAACAGCCAGAAAACCATCAGCCTCCGTGTGTGTTTCAGGTCAGACTGGGTGTTTAATCCAGGTGTCTTGCCCCTGTTTTCCAGCATCACCGCAACAGCCGCCAGCATCGGTGCAGCCGGCATCCCCCAGGCTGGGCTGGTTACGATGGTGATAGTGCTCACATCAGTGGGCCTCCCACCAGATGACATCACACTCATTGTGGCCATTGACTGGATCCTGTAAGTCAAAGTCATGATTCTATGGAAATGTCTTTTTATTGATAATCCTAGCCATCTGATGGTGTCAAATCTGTGTCGGCAGTGACCGGTTTCGGACCATGATCAATGTCCTGGGCGATGCGCTGGCAGCAGGAATTATTGCTCACCTCTGTCGGAAGGACTTCCCCCTCAGTGGAACAGGAAAGGTAATAAACACAAGCAAACACAGCAGATGCATTTTGAACCATTTTTTGGACTTTCTCTCTTTACCAGTCGGTTTATTCTCAGTCCACGTGTTGTTGTGCCAGTTATAAGGATATTTGTGATTATACTGAGAAGGACACCTGCAGCATTGTCTGTTTCACATACAATACGCTGCTTCTGGCAGGAAAACACGAGTCTGTTACTCCATTCATGCCTGTGGTCTTAGATTAGATGAGCTTACAGCAGCACTGGCTCACACTGGACTAACAACCGCAACAGATTAGAGCTGCAACTGTCATGTTAGATCCTCATGATTCTTCCCTGCCCACAGACAGAAGCACGCCTTAGTGGGCTTGTAACCCTAAACTGTGTCCAGGTGGTTTCCCTAATGTGAAACAAAGCCCCAGTCAGAGCAGCAACATGAATTGCTGCATTTCATCCGGTCTGAAAATTCCAACAGGATCTGACTGGTATCACCAAATGGGCTCAAACTGAATAGCAGCAGGAAAACTGGTTATCTGAATGTTTTTATTTCACTATTAATCCTGTAGCTGTTAAAAGCCACTTACCAGTGACAGCTGCACAAAGAAGCGTAGGTTCCTGATCCTTACTGCAGTGTGCATACAGGAACGCCTGTTTTAAGGCGTTCACAAAACATAATCTGATTCATAATGACAGCTTGTTTGGAAAAATCCTGGACATGCAGGACATTCTGCACCACAGCTCTGGTCTCACCTAGACCAGAGCTGTGGTGCAGAACATGTAGTTATGATAAGCTCAGTACATGGACAAGTCCAAACTGAGCCACAAAGTGTGGCAATGCGTGAGAGGAACCATGCAGAGAGGGCCGTTAGTTGATTTCCGCATCACAGATTGGCTCACAGTCCCATAGAGAACATGATTTTCTTAGAAGATGAGGGATGAACGGTTCCCCTCCAGGTTGTCCCACAGGTTGATGTGTTTCTTGCTTCCTTTGCAGCCGGTGCCGACTTATGGGACGCAGACCACCCATACCAACTCCCACAGCACTGATGTGCCGATGGCCGAGATCCACACGCACAAAGACTGCATGTTCGAGGCGGCCGGCGACTCGGTGAGCCAGGGGCACGCTCACACCGTTTACTACAACATCTGCCAGGTGTGACGGGCAGGCCGGAGCCTCGGGATGCCTCACAGCTGCCACGGTCCAGTCAGAACACACTGTGCCATCAGAAAAGCCACAGCTATCTGGTGAGGACTTAGAGTCACAGACCCACCTGCTGGTCTTCCCCACACACAAGCCTTTTATGTTCTGACTGTTTATCAAAGGGCTTCTGGACCAAACCAGGTCAACGGAACAAAGCAAAAGAACCCCAGAGTCGGGGTTCTGACTTGGATCTCCCACTGGAACAAAGCTCATATCAGTCTGACCACTCAGGTGTTCAGACAAACCTCTGAGTGATCTGATTGGCCACTCCAGGTGCTCACCCTGCCTAAAGGGACAAAGATAATGAATTGATCCAAGTGCCCTTCATCTCACAGATGCAGCCGTGCTCTTCCTCTGCATGCTGGCATGCGCTCTGGCTGCCTTCATTTGAAGTCGTGGTGCATTATTCCCTCCCTTTGTTTACTTTCTTTTGACCAGAATCGTAGAACCAAAGTTAGGCAGAGCTCGTGTGATCGGCTGGATTTCATCTAATGACTGCCCTCTTTTTCAAACATTCAGAACGGCTCCGCAGATTTTCAAGAACCATCTGATCTCAGATAAGACCTCAAAAAGACACTGAATCATTCTCAGATCACTCTGTGAATATCAGCAACAACAAACCCAACCAGTGAGCTGCAGCGTGCTGGTGTGGAGTGCCATTTTAACCTGTGAGGATGTGGATGAATGCCTACGAAACCTCAAATGATGAATGTGGATATATATAGTTTCTTTTTTTAAGACTGCATTATGTTTCGTGCTCTAATATTAAATTGAGGGGGCGTGGTTCTCCATTACCAATCATTACATCACCTTATAAAGGAAAAGAATTCAAATACTGTATTTCTATGTTTTACTATTGTTGCTTTGACATGTAAATGTGGACAAATACTTATCCAGAAGCCAAAGTAGGACAGAATAAACTTCAAACTAGATTAAAGATGTGCCGCTAAACTATGGAAAGGAACCAATACCACTCATAAAAGGGAAGTATCACAAAGAGAAAAAACATAGAGTTAACAGATGCAGTAATACATAAACACCTGACAGAAACAGACTAAAGCAGAGAACTGTAAAGAAAATTTAACCAAACAGAACAAAGAAGAAACCTGAATATACTAAATAAGAAAGCATAAATTAAATTAAACCAAAAAATAACACAAATTCCTCCCTGACATGCGAAGATCCCAAATGTGGCTTTGACCCAGAACTGAGAACTGAGCGGCTGGTCATCAGGATGGACAGCTGCATTAATCTGCCGTCTGACCATTGTGTATTAGTCATGATTAAACGGCCTTCTCGTGTTTGGACCACCATATTCCCTCTGAGTATAGATTCAGACGCGAAGAACAAGCACTGACCTCAGTTTAACCTCAAGTTGGTCGCTGTTATTTTCTGGAGAAAAGATGGCGTTTCCTCGTGTGACTATGCGTTCAAACCCCAAAGAAGCAGCTTACTGAGGATATTTACTTCCCCTCTTCGTGATGAAACTAATAATCCAACACCCTGAGCTTTCTTAACTTCATAAACACCGCCTACACGCTGGCACATCCAGAACAAATGTGTGATGCTTTTGGTGAAGTGTCCCCTGGACTCGTTCAAGGGGGAAATGTAGCCCTGCCTTAATCTGTTGTTTTCACCTCAAAGTTCCTCTGCCAACACACACCACCAACTCCTGGTTTCAGCTATCAACATTTTGATTCTCTCTTTTATATTCTGTGTCATTTGTGTTTATTTGTATTTGGAAATAAAAATGTGTCAGTTTATTCTTTCTGTTCGACGATGTCATGCTGTGGGTCAGTCCCAGGCTTCAGTTTTTCAGAGGAAACGGGACCAGTTTGACTACCTATACGAAGTCAAGTGTTGATGTTCCAGACGGCAAAAGTGCCTCTAATCAGATAAATACAGACCTCACAGAGTGGGAGGAACTTTTTAAGGTTTACATATCAGTTCCCTTTTGTATTTTCTCAGAACCTTTATGAATATCAGCAACACTGGAACATTAATGGGGTGCAGTTTCTTTTATCCGCCCACATCCTGCCGTGTTCTGGGTTACACTTCATCCCAACTGGACCGGCCTGAGGTTGTTTTTATTTAGAGCCTTGAATCTGCATCATGATGATTATTGTCATCATTATCTTACATAGAGATCTCTGGAAAACGTATGAACATGTCCGGTCCGAGACTCAAAGCAGGTGGTTCCTGTAGCTCTGTGCTGCAGCTATTTTTAGCCATCATTATCATTAATCCAATAAGCAGAACGTGAGGCTGCACGGGACCGAATCCCTGCAACGACACGCAGCCACAGGTGCCTGCACGGCTAATCCAGCCCAGACTGACGGCACAACAATGATTTAATGAGACAACACCATCAGACAGGAAGGCTCGGGAACATTTTGTGTATTGATGTTTGAGTGAAATTTGGGAAGCCGGAACAGTCACCCAGCAGGAGTCGAGACCACGAAGGCCTGAATGACAGACTCACCGCCAGGCCCCTCTCTGCCCTCTGCAGGGGTCACCAGCAGAGGAGCTGAACCTGAGAAAATGTGAGCTCCTGCTTCATAGTGTAATAGGTGGATGAATGGTGAACATTGAATTTGAACAAATTTCTTCGTATTTTTCTCAGGTCTTTCTCCTTTGTGACCATCCGTGAACTCAACCGTGACCAAAGCTGCTCCAGGCTCTGATCTCTGTCCATGTTTTGTGATTGTATCCACATAAAAACACAGAGATCAGCCACGAGATTTCCAGGAAGAAGCAGGAAAAGGTCTGTAATCAAAATCCTGGCTCTGTTAGTTTCATCTGTTCTCAGAAAGCATCAGTTAGGAAACTCTCCCCTCTGAATTTACAGTAGCAAAGACTTGAACCCAAACTTCTTATCTGGTTCAAAGTTTTATTACGTTTCTCTAAATTCTTTAAAATAGCCACTTTTGTTCCCTTCCTTAGGATTTAGTCAAACATTCTGAACACAGACACATTATTTCAGGGAATAATTCAAACAAAACATGTCTGCCATCTGGTGGTCGGTAGAGGAGGAGCAGATCTGAAGAGTTGCCCCGAGCTCAGTGAAGCACTACACAAAACTCATTAAACACACATTAAACATCTCACACAACTCTAAAGGGCCATCGTCTGAAGCCC